CCTCACATCAACTATAAAATAGCAAAAAGATAAAACTAAAAATCAAAAGTTTATTCATTCAAAAATTAAATTTGCATAATAGTTATTAAGACTGAAATTTTTACTTTAGTTTATTATCTTAATTTACTCTTAATTGCCAAAAAACAAAAGTTAACTTTACTCTGAATGGATATTTTAAAATTATTAAATCTTTTGAAAAAGCAAATTTTCTATACATTTAATTGTATAGAAAATTTCATTTCAAGTTTTTAAATTAAGTTTTGCAGTGACATTTATTTTTTAAAAACTAACGTTCAGTTAGTAACCAAAGGACAGTTGCACCACATAATTAAGTAAAAAAGCTATTTCTTTTAAATTCATTTTATTGTCGTGAAGAAAAAATGAGGTAGTTAAAATAAACTGAAAATTATTTATATAATACTGCATTTAAAACTGAAATTTTTTTTCTATGTAAAATAAAAAAGCAAAATAAAAAATAAAAAAAATTTTTGGGCATTTTATTTTGGGAGCTCATACCGCTCCAGTACTAAAACAGGTCTGGGTTTGTCCCTGAATTTGGAAAATGATTTTAAATAATATTTCATGAAAATGAAATAGTTAATGACTTATGCCAAACTACTGTTATAAAATATATGTTGTCTGCCTGCTATTTTGAGCAATATATGTCAGGCCTTGCGATAAAGCGTCAGGCGATGTGAATTTTACGTCGTCCAAGAGCAATTTTGCGTGTAGCTAGGGCTATTTGCGTCGAGCAAAAAATTTTTTGTTTGAGTATATTTAAAGATATTTTTGAGCGGAATTTTAATGAAGTAATTTACGAATATTTTAACATTTAATAAAGTATTTTAAAAACCGCACGCAGTTGAAATAAAAGTTTGAATTTAAAAAAATTAAATATGCTCATTATTTACAAGTAGAAAAAAATCAAAAATTAAAAAAAAAAGTTTAAATCTTTTAAGCTAATATTTAATTAAAATTATCTAACATTTAATTAAAATTGAACAAAAATACTTTCTTTTAGTTTTAGATTTTAAACTTAAATAATTATTTTACGGGGGTTTGTTAGGATTTAAAATTATTCCATAGATTTAAAAAAATTTATTAACTGTTAGACGTATTTAAAGTATTTAAGAGTAATTTCGAGGAAACATTTTAAAAATTGGTGAGGGCAAATAAAAAAATAAAAAAGGATTAATATTAAAACTTATTCTACTTGATTCAATAAAAAAGTACAGTTATTAAAATTTTTGTAAAAAGTAACTCAAAAAAATTACTTAAATAATAACGATCGCTTTTATGTTAAAAGTTACCGAAACTCAACGAAGCGTGCTCAAGAACAGCTGCTGAAAAATAGAACGTCAATAGTTTTTCGAATAGTTTTTAAGAATAATTTTTTCGCTGAAATATTTCTTTTATTCCTAAAAAATTTTTATTCTAACATTATATTTTTTTTTACTAGAAATAAAATTCCTTGTTAACATTAAAAATCTATTCAAAACGTTCGTTTAAGTTTTTTATTAATACGAGTGATTGTGCTTATCAACCGTTTTATGAAAATAAATAAAAATAAATAAATATTATATAAAATCGCTTGTAAAAATATTAGCTATTGCACAGTTTTTAATCGTACAATATCAAAATTTCCAGTTTATTACTCGCTGACTTTTTAAAAAGAAAAAATAATTATTTGAAAAACTTTAAATTACATATTTAAGAAAAAAAAAAGTCAAGTATTAGCATATTTTATAATCTTTTTTAAATTTAAGTTATAATGTTTTTTATTCGTTTAGTATAGACAAAACGTGACAAACGTCGAGAAAATAAACAAATGTTTTTACATTTTAAAAAACGAATCATTCCAAAACATTTTTAAATAATAACATTTCTACATAAACGATTTAAAGTAGTTTTGCGGTAATTAAGTAAATTGGTGCAGTTAATGTCGATAAATATGAAAAGCAAATAAATAGAATTTAATGACGTCAAAAATCACGTCGTGCTTATGCGTCGCGCAGTTCTTATTCATCGCAAGGCCTGTATGTCATATATAAAAAAACGGCAGACCTTGTTTTAAAGTGTTATGCAGCTCCTAATTTACGAACGTGTTAAGCTATTTTAAGTAGAGGTAAAACATTTTGGTCAAACAACTTTTTATATTTTCAATATTTAAATTAGCAAAAAGATGTCTTTTAGGCGGTAAGAAATAATTGAACCCGTCATTTCGAAAAGGGCACAAGTCCATTTATTCAAACTTTTCAGGATCAACAAAAATAACTTTATTAGAAAAAAAGTCTATGGTGCTAAAGAAACTAAAGATAACAGTAGATATATAAAAGTTATACATAAGTTTTAAGAGTTTTATTTGTTATAAAAAAATAATATATAACACATATATTTCTAATTTAAATTTATGGACTTATGTCTTTTTCGGAATGAACGCTTTTTTGTATATAAAAAACCAAAGATTATCAGAATAATAATGATTTATTATTATACAAAAACATTTATTGTTAGGTAATCATCAATTATTTCTCGGAATTCATTGTTTGCCGAAGTTGTTGGCGAAGCAAAAACCTTTGTATAGAAGTTTTGGTACTCTTCTATTGAATATGGAATATATTTTTTCATATTTTTTTTAAATCTGATATATTTTTTTCATTGATAGGTAATTTTCCAACATATGCAGGAGTACTACTTAATGGTAAGGTTGACCGGGTACCCATCCTTTGTAATAGCTGGAAATTATAACTGACTAAGCAATCTATGGATTCACATGTTTTCACTAAACCTGCTATGGTATTAGAGAATGTGAGATGTGAAATTTTAGAAATACCAAAAGTAAGTTTTTTGTCCTTGGGTACTCCTTTTTTATAGGAATCCACAGATAGCACAAGTTTCTTATAATGGTTTAGCCACCATTTTTTTACATTGTTGGTGTGTAAATCATTTTTTTGAATGTCGTTTTGCTGTTCCAAACATTCTATCGTTTGGCAAGAATGAGTGACCTCTTTTTGGTATGTAATATTGTATCTCATTTATATTGCTATCTAGTTCAGCTACCAGTGATGAAAGTATTCGGACCGTGGCATGATTTCTGTTTTGGCTTGCACAACCATCAGAAAATAGGTGCAGTTCTTTGGCTTTGTTGCCAATATTTTTAAAAATATAATTCAGCACAAAGGTACATACTTCGCTCACATACTTTTAATGTATCTCTAGGTAATGCGTTGCATCGTGATCACAGAGATTTACCTCTGTAATTTATAGGCTGCTTTTTTTTTTTAATAAAATGCATAAATGTCTAACTTGTTTCATAGAAATTCCATGCATACAGCAAAAAGATTTCTTGCGTACTTTTCTTATCACACCTTCAATCTAAATGCGATAAATAAAAGAAAATTATTTTTTCTTAGGTTCTTTAGATCTAAACCATCTTCCCTCTTTTCAATCAATGACTGCAAGTATGTGTCTTGAGCATTTTTACAATCAAATTTGTTAACAAACTGAATTGTACTTTCTATAAAATCTTCAGATACAAGCTCCATACACATTGAATTACATCTGTAAATAAATAGAATTTAATAAAAATAATTTTCTTTTATTATTGAGGTAATATTGTAATGATTATATATCAAGATGTTTTACCTCCAATTATTGGTGGTAAAACATGAATAAATAAGCATAAATTTGAGAACGAATATAGTCATACTCTAAAGAACAAAAAACTAACCTAACAGAAGCACCCGTTTGACTTGGTGCCACATCATTTCCTTTGTGGTTTTTATAAGTTTCTCCAGCAATTTTGGCTTTTTTTATTTTTTTGTGTTTATAATTTCCACTGTTTCTTATACCAGACACTTTTTGTAGATCTATATGCATTTTTAGGAAGTTCGCGATTTTCCACTTTTGTTGCAAAAAAAGTGAAATTACATCACTACAGTTGCGCTTTGTTTCACTTGAAAAAGGCATAAGTCGAGACTTGTGCCATTTTCAAACAGACTTTAATTTTCATTTGCATTTAAAGTTGACTTGTGGCATATGAAAATGTTTCTCCTTCAAAGGGAATATGTAAAACACTTGAATAAAAAAAATTGCATTAAAAAGTGAAATTTGAAAAAAGTGTGACTTGTGCCTTTTTTGAAATGACGGGTTCAATTAATGTTAAAAAAACCACTTATATGTTTGAATAACAATTATGTTACAAAAGTTTAAATGACGTTTTATGTAAGTGCTACTTACAAATGAAATAAATTCAGATAAAATTAAAAATAAAGAAAATTTCTATTTCAATTTTATTTAAAAATATTACTATTGTTTAATAAAAAAGTTTTATTTAAAAAAAAAAGAGAGCTTTTTTTCACTACAATTCTTTTTTCAAAATTTTTTTCAAAATTAAACTCATTGTATTTGTGTTCAAAGACATTAAATCAAATTTTTTTTACATTAATGGCATTTAAGGCAAGAAATTACAAGAATATATATTTTTAATAAATGGTATTTGGAAACATAAAGTAATCTTTACTTTCAAAACAAAATCATTGGTTAATTAAGTTTTTATTTTTGTAATAAGCTATATTTTTTATTTGTTACTCGCTAACTTTTTTAAAATCATTATTAGATGCAAAGCTGCTATAACAAATTAATAAAAACAAAAAAAAAATTAACATTTTTAATTGATTGATCCAAATGTTGAGAAAAAAAAGAAATCAGTTATATCAAATATTTTTTTAAATTAAATTTTTAAATTAGTTAATTAATATTTTTAAAAAAACATTTCATATTATAGAAATTTTTATATTGTGATAGTCCAAAAAAGTTAATGTTATTTAAATAATAGTAATAATAAAGAGAATTTTATGTCACATTCACATTAAGCAAATGTATTAAGCATTTTTTTTAATTTAAAACAAGACCTGAAATGGCATTATAAAAATCTGCTTAAACCATTAAAGTGTGGAACTATGGAAATGAAACCATGAAATTAAAAAAAAAACACTCACAACTTTTACTTCATTTGACACATCCATCTTGTATAAAGATCTATCAGTCCAGTCAGTCCAATAAACGAAGTCATCTAAAACTGAGACACCAAACATGTGGGGTGAGCTTGACTTAAGAACACCTCTAAATTTACTAGCCAAATCATAGTATTCTATTATGTCTCTATACCCATCAACCCAATATAAATATTGTTTTTTGTAGTCCAGGGTAATGCCATTTGGCCAATGAAGATTTGAATTAACAAGAGTAACACGATTCTCTCCATCCAAATCTGCAGCTTCAATCTTAGGAGTTTTACCCCAATCAGTCCAATAAAATCGACTAAAGATATTTAAAATTTATAAAGACTTTAACTAATCAAAACCATTAACAATTTTAAAAACTAAAACAGCTTAAAAGTCAATACCCATGTTCTGAATCAACTACAATTCCTCTTGGCTCATCTAAGTTGTCCTCAACAATAACAACGCTTGCTGAGCCATTCAAATTTGTCACATATATTTTGTTAAATTTAGGACAAGTCCAGTACAAATTGCGTGCAATCCAATCAACAGCTAAATGATCAGGAAATGTATACCCATACGGTACTATTGTTTCAACAGCTAAAAACAATTTTTTAATGTATTATTTTGCATGCATTATGAAGTAGTTTTTACAATAAGGTATTTAAGAGATGAGGCTTCTTTAAAAATGCTCATTCAAAACTATAATCAAATACTGGATAATTTGGTCTACTCGTTAATTTATATATAATTCAAAAATGAATTGTTTCATGCACAAACTTTTGTTATGCTTGATAATTTTTAAAAATGAAACACAAATTTAATAACCTGATCCATTTAGAAATGCCCTTTTAATCACGCCATATTTATTATCTAATGCATCTGTCCAGTACGCTCTCATATCAATAGGATCAAAATCTACAGCTGAAACTGTGCTTAAACCAGATATTGGTAGCTTTATGTTTATAAAATCATTAGTGTCCAAAGAGACAATTTGTAAATCAGGACGTGTTGCTATCAAAACAAACTTCTCAATAGCTAGTAACAAAATTATTTAACATTTTTGAAATAATAAAGTCATGCTTTAAAAGAAAAATCTTATACAGAAAATCACTTTAAAAAATTAAATTATGTAAAAAACACATATCAAGCAAAAGTTTAACACAAAAAAAAACTTTGAAATATTTAACAAATATTGAACTAAACAAATTTAAATGGGCATACATAAAATAAAGATAAACATCAATAAATATTTAGAAATTTAATTTGAAATGCAACTAAGATTTTTTCTGTTTTATGTGTATTATAACTTGGAAAATTTAATTTTCCATTTTATGTAACACATAAAATGAAAAATCACTCAGACAAATGCTTAAGTGAGCAGTCATTTGAAAAATTTTACATTTCTAACCATTTGAACATGTTCGGTTATCCTTTAACAGCTTGTAACCTGTGCGACATTTGCATGAATATCCTGAAGGCTTTAGAAGACAAAGATGACTGCATCCACCATTTCTTATATGACAACCAGAATTAACTATGAGATGTAAAAAAATACTTTTACAATTTATAAATAAATTTTACAAAAATACATAAATAGTCAAGTTAATCGTCTTTTTACTCTTTCTATTAGCTAAAGAATAAAATATATGTTGGTAATATAATTTGTCACAAAAGATTTTTCTACACCAGCCTACCACAAATATAACATGGATACAACATATATATAACATATAGCTGTAACAAGGATAAAAGTAATTTTTACAAACATTACATTATTATTTCAAACCTTAAAATGCATTATCATATTATATCACATGCATGATGCCTAATTAATTTTAAGTAAATAAACTTTTTTATGCTTCCAGTATCATTAATTTATTGTTAATAATATAATACAAAAACAATTATTAGTAACAGTTATATAGAACTAGTAATAATGGTTTAGAAAAGAGTAGCGAAGCCATAGAGCAACATTTAAGTTATTTAAAAAAACAAAAAACAGCAAAAAAATAAATGTAGAAAAAGCCTTTTAGTTTTCAGTTAAAAAGTCCATCATAAAAATAGTTTTTATAGAGTCATATGTAAAAACAGCTGTAGTATAGTTGCAAATAAAAGAATCAGCAAAATAAAATAAAATAAACAATAAAATATATACAAAATGGTTGCATCTTTTGTCCATAAGATTTGATAGATTTGATTTCTGACAACTCAGAAATTTCTGTACGGCAAAGCTCAACTGATCCATTAAATTTATTGCAAGATGAAATAGAACTTTTTTTTAAATTAGAAAAATAAATCCGTAAATCAATGATTGCCATGTTAACAATGCTATTGAAACTATTTTCTTCTGCTTTAAAAATTGTTTTCCTATCAGATCCATCAGTGCGTATTGATTCAAGTGTAAGCTTTTGGCCATCGAACCAATAAACTTGATCATTGTCAGCTACAATTACATTGGGTACTAAAATGTTTTTGTTAACAAACACTTGTGGATCAGATCCATCCATGTTAATTTTTTCTATTCGAGCATTATCACCCCAGTCAGTCAAAAATAAAAGGCTAAAATAAAATATAAAAACAACAATACATTTAAAATCATACATCTAAAAACATCATTAAAGTGGTATACACATATTGTATTTTGTGAGAAAATAAATGTAAAAAAAAAACACACATATTCAGGCCTTGTGATGAATAAAAACTGCGTGATGCATAAGCACGACGTGATTTTTGACGTCATTAAATTCTTTCTATTTGCTTTTCATATTTTTCGACATTAACTGCACCAATTTACTTAATTACCGCAAAACTACTTTAAATCATTAATGTAGAAACATTATTATTTAAAAATGTTTTTGAATGTTTCATTTTTTAAAATGTAAAAACATTTGCTTGTTTTCTCGACGTTTGACACGTTTTGTCTATACTAAACAAATAAAAAACATTATAACTAAAATTTAAAAAAGATTATAAAATATGCTAATATTTGATTTTTTTTTTCTAAAATATGTAATTTAAAGTTTTTCAAATAATTATTTTTTCTTCTTAAAAAGTCAGCGAGTAATAAACTGGAAATTTTAATATTGTACGATTAAAAACTGTGCAATAGCTAATATTTTTACAAGCGATTTTATATAATATTTATTTATTTATTTATTTTTATTTATTTTCATAAAGCGGTTGATAAGCACAATCACTTGTATTAATAAAAAACTTAAACGAACATTTTGCAAAGATTTTAAATGTTAACAAGGAATTTTATTTCTAGTAAAATAAAATAAAATGTTAGAATAAAAATCTTATAGGTATAAAAGAAATATTTCAGCGAAAAAATTATTCTTAAAAATTATTCGAAAAACTATTGACGTTCTAATTTTCAGCAGCTGTTCTTGAGCACGCTTCGTTGAGTTTTGGTAACTTTTAACATAAAAGCGATCGTTATTATTTAAGTAGTTTTTTTGAGTTACTTTTTACAAAAATTTTAATAACTGTACTTTTTTATTGAATCAAGTAGAATACGTTTTAATATTAATCCTTATTATTTTTTTTTTTATTTGCGCTCACCAATTTTTAAAATGTTTCCTCTAAATTACTCTTAAATACTTTAAACACCTCTAACAGTTAATAAATATTTTTAAATCTATGGAATAATTTTAAAACCTAACAAGCCCCCGTAAAATAATTATTTAAGTTAAAAATCTTAAACTAGAAGAAAGTATTTTTGTTCAATTTTATCGACAACTTTGCTATTGCTGAATAATTTTATTAAAATGTTTAATATACGCTTTATTGCAAGGCCTGCATATTGTGCTTTGTGTCGTGTGCCGAGGTACACTACACAAAAAGCAAGATACAAGTGTACTTGTGTAGTGCACTAAAGTAGTACACAAATTTTTTTTTTTTTTTAATTATCTTCGCTTCCAACAAGGTTGCAAGCAACCACTAATTAGTGTTGGAAGTAACTGGAAGAGAAAAGATGAAGATTGTAGAGCAAGATAACGATTGACAGACGACTTAAAATACTGCAAATTATATGAATCAGGAAAGCAAGATGAAGAAAGCGAATTCCAAAGAACTGATGTTCGAGGAAAAAAACTAGACGAATAAGAGTTTTTGGAGCACTTAGGAATAGTAACAGAAAAAGGATGAGACTTAATTGAATGACGAGTAACACGAGAATGAATTTTAGTAGATGGCACAAGAGACGCTAGCTCTTTAGAGCAGTGCCCATTATAGTATTTGTAGAAAAGAGAAAGAGAAGCAACATTACGACGATGTGACAGAGGTTGAAGGTTGGCTGCAAGAGCAGGTCCAACTATGTTTACAATGCGTTTTTGCACCTTGTCTAAAAGAGAAAGGGCATCATTAGAAGATCCGCCCCAGATGTGGCAACAGTATTCCATACAGGGGCGGATTTGAGATTTATAGAGATAGAGAATAGAATCTGGAGTAAGAAAGTGTCGAGCTCGATAAAGAGATGCAACCTTAGCAGATGCTAATTTTGCAATGGATTTGATATACGGTTTAAAAGAAAGATCAGAAGTAAGAGTTAATCCTAGAAGATGAAGGGTAGAAGACTCATCGAGTACATTACGGTTCATAAATATAGGAAGGTTTAAATTATTGCGATAACGAATGGCCGAAAAAAATTGAGTTTTATCTGAATTAAAGTTCACCAGCCACTGCGAGCCCCATGCTGTAGCAGAAGTGAAATCCTTTTCGAGCTCAGATGCCCCCTGCAAGCAATCAGAGGGAGTTGGCTTCTTATCGTGACAAGAATAAATGGTAGTATCATCAGCGAACAATGCCACCTTAAATATGAGAAAATCTGGAAGATCGTTAATGTAAATTAAAAAGAGTATAGGGCCAAGGATTGAACCTTGGGGAACCCCTGAGGTTACAGAATAAGAAGAAGAGTGCTGTCCATCAAGGACAACTTTTATACTACGATTGGAAAGGAAGGATTCAATAATCTTAAAGATGTTTCCAGATACACCATAAGAAGAAAGCTTATGGAGGAGACCAGCATGCCAAACTTTATCAAACGCTTTAGAAATGTCAAGAGCAATGGCCTTAACCTCTCCACCTTTATCTAATGCGCGATAAAACCTGTCGGTTATTACTGATAGCAAATCAGCCGTAGAACGAGAAGATCGAAATCCATACTGATGATCAGAAAGTAGGTAATGAGATTCGAGATGAGAGATTAAGTGTTTGTTAATTAAAGATTCAAAAACCTTGCTTATGATAGGAAGAAGACTAATGGGATGGTAGTTAGATAAGTTAGATCACTCTCCAGAAGTTTTAAAAATAGGGATAACAGATGCTGCTTTCCAGCAGGCTGGAAAACAAGACTCTGATAAGCACTTGTTGAATAGTTTTGAAAAGATAGACGACAGCTCAGGAGAACAAGACTATAACAGGTATGTTGTCCTGGCCGCAAGCTGTAGAAGAGTCTAAGCGGAAAATCACTTTAGATACAGAAGCTGGAGTGATATGAATGTCGAGCAATGGATCAACCTGTTTGACGGGTATATCAGGTAAAACGCAACTAGTGGCATCAAGAGATGATATTGATGAAAAGTTTTTGGCAAACAATTCAGCTTTGTCTTTAGGTGAGGTGACAAAGTCTGAACCGTACAAAAGAGTTGGAATTACAGACTTGCCCTTATTATTGATACTATTAAAGATTCTCCAGAAATCACGAGAGCCTAATTTTTGTGATCTTCGCCTCTAGCAAGGCTGCAAGCAACCACTAATTTGCATCTTCGCCTCTAGCAAGGCTGCAAGCAACCACTAATTAGTGTTGGAATTTACTGGAAGAGAAAAGATTGACAGACAACTTAAAAGATTGCAAATTATATAAATCAGGAAAACAAGATGAAGGAAGCTAATTCTAAAGAACTGATGTTTGAGGAAAAAAATTAGAGGAATAGGAGGTTTTGGAGCACTTATGAACAGTAACAGAAAAAGGATGAGACTTAATTGAATGACGAGTAACACTAGATTGAATTTAAGTAGATGGCACAAGCAATGCTAGCTCTTTAGAGCAGCACCCATTATAGTATTTGTAGAAAAGAGAAAGAGAAGCATTATTACAACGATGTGAAATGGTTGAAAGTTGGCTGCAAGAGCAGGTCCAACTATGTTTACAATGCGTTTTTGCACCTTGCAGGCCTTGTTACGAGATTTCCCTGCGTAACGGAAAAGCTGAACGTGAATAAATGTAACTTTACTCAATAAAGATATTTACATTGTTAAAAGTTAATTTACGTCAGTTGCGTTTTTACTTAATTGTAATTAAATTTAAAATGACATTAAAAACTATTGTAGTCTTTGAAACGAAATAGCTTTAAATTGTACAATGTTGTTATAAAAAAAAAAAAATTTCAATGTTGGTTAAAAAAAAGTCTTCTTGTATTAAAATCTTATACTTATTTAAACTTAATTTTTTTGCTTTTAAACATTCGTTTTATGGTTGTTTTTTTATTTATTTTTTATTTTAAATAATTTAAATTTAACACTTGTTTATGGTTGATTCTCTTAAAGGGATTTAAATGTACTTATAACTAAACGCATAGATTTGGTTTTCCCTTTTAAAAAAAAACGTTTGTTTTGATAAAATAAATGTTGTAAAGAAACGAAACTTACTGCTTTTTCGGCTTTGTTTTTTTTTATTTCCATTAAACTATTTTATTTTTATGTACAGTGAAACCTAATATTTTTTTTCTCAATCCAAAAAAAAATAGTGTTTTCGGTTTTCAGATGTTATAAGCAGAATTTGTTTTTAACAAATATCATTATAATTTTGAAATTTATGTATCTTATATTTATAGCTCAAGTACTAGTTTTGTTTTTAAAATAAAATAAAGATAAGTTGGGTTTTTAAAGAGTTTATTTACTGATCACGTTATTTTTAATAAGTTTGTATTTTAGTTTGTTCAAGGTCCTTGGTTTGTTTTATAAAAAAAAATTCTTTGGCAAATGGCAAAGGGAAAATCCAAACATAACATTTATAACTCGAGTTTAAAAGTATTGACGTCATTTATTAACTTGTAGTTATAAAATGAATAATGCGCTTCTGTAAATAATGAATGAAACTGTAAAATAATGGAAAAATAAAAACTGGAAAATAATGCGCTTTTGTAAGCGCATCTTTCAGACCAGTATTTGGAACTTACCTGAAACTTAACTAAAATTAAAATAAAGTTATATGTAATACGAACATTTTAAAGTAAATTGAATTAAATTTATCAAATCTTTTTTTACTTTGGTAATTTTATAAAAAAAATGGAGCATTTTAAAATTAAAAAATTTTTAAATGCTCTGTTTTAAAATTAAATGAAAGAATTTTAATTAAATTTAATAAATTTATTTACTAAAAACTATAATTATTAAAAAAATATTTAAATTTTAAAATAAATTGAAAATATTTCTTTTTTTAAATTTGATTGTTTATAAACTTATGAAATCTAATATTTAAAATTAAATATGATGAAAAGTTTAAACTTAAAACACTTTATTTTCTTTAAGTAATTTTTAAAAACAAAAAAAAAATTATTAAACAAATTGTTTCTTTAACAAAAAATCTATTAGTTTACAATTGCGGTTAAATGCTTTTACTTACGTCTAAAACCTTGTCTAAAAGAGAAAGGGCATCACTAGAAGATCCACCCCAGATATGGCAACCGGATTTGAGATTTATAGAGATAGAGAATAGAATCCAGAGTAAGAAAGTGACGAGCTCGATAAAGAGAAGCGACTTTAGCAGATGCTAATTTTGCAATGGATTTGATATAAGGTTTCCAAGAAAGATCAGAAGTAAGAGTTAATACTAGATGATGAAGGGTAGGAGACTCATCGAGTACATTACCGTTCATAAATATAGGAAGGTCTAAATTATTGCGATAACGATTGGCTGAAAAAAATTGAGTTTTATCTGAATTAAAGTTCACCAGCAACTGTAGCAGAAGTGAGATTTTTTTCAAGCTCAAATGCCCCCTCCGAGCAATCAGAGAGAGTTGGCTTCTTATAATGAAAACGGTAGTATCATCACCAAACAATGCCACCTTAGATGTGAGAATAACTTGAAGATCATTAATGTAAATTAAAAAGAGTATAGGGCCAAGAATTGAACCTTGAAGATCCCCTGAAGTTATAGAATAAGAAGAAAGGTGCTGTCTATCGAGGACAACCTTTACACTACAATTGGAAAGGAAGGATTCAGTAATCTTAAAGATTTTTCCAGATACAGCGTAAGAAGGAAGCTTAAGGAGAAGACCAGCAACTAGCATGCCAAACTTTATCAAAAGCTTTAGAAATGTCAAGAGCGATGGCCTTATGTACAATAAAAACTATTGGTTATAACTGTTAGCAAATCACCCATAGAACAAGAATATGGAAATCCTTATTGATGATCAGAAAGTAAGTTATTAGATTCATTAGAGAGAGATTAAGTGTTTGTTAATTAAAGATTCAAAAATCTTGTTTATAATAGGAAGAAGACTAATGGAACGGTAGTTAGACGAATCAGATCGCTCTCCAGAATTTTTTTAAAAATAAGGATAACAGATGCTGCTTTCCAGCAAGCTGGAAAACAAGACTCTGATAAGCACTTGTTAAATAGTTTTGAAAGGATAGACGACAGCTCCGGAGAACACTTCTGCAAGACTATAACAGGTATGTTGTCCAGCAGCTGTATTCTCATCTCTCCGTTAAGCTTAACGAAACTTTTGTCTGAAATTTTATTACAATATTTTTAAGTGAAGAAATGACAAAAACTTTATTTAAATTTTTTAATATAAAACTAATACTAAAATAAAACATTTATTTTCAAAAAATTATATTTTTAAAGAACTTTTTTTATTAATGTAGTTAAAAAGAAATTTTCTACTAACGCTCCATTAAGCTTAACAGAGAGATGAGAATATGGCTGCAGACCACAAGCGCTGTAGAAGAGTCTAAGCAGGAAATCACTTTAGATACAGAAGCTGGAGTGATACAAATGTCAAGCAATGGATCAACCTGTTTAACTGGTATATCAGGTAGAATACAACTAGTGGAATCAAGATATTGATATTGATGAAAAGTTCTTAGCAAATAATTCAGCTTTGTCTTTAGGTGAAGTGACAAAGTCTGAACCATACAAAAGAGGTGGAAGTACAGACTTACCCTTATTATTGATACTATTAAAGATTCTCCAGAAGTCACGAGAGCCTAATTTTTGTGATGAAATACAAGATTTCATGACCTGAGAATAGCGGGCTTTGGCGTTAGACAAAACCTTTTTACAATGGTTCCTAGTAGTAATAAACAGACATCTGTTTTCTGGAGAATTGTTTTGCTGATAGATATGGAAGTAATGGTTTCGATTGGCAATTGCAGCAGAACAATGTGAGGAAAATCATGGAGAAGAGTGAGGCTTGACCTGGAATCGTCAAGAGGGAATAAAGGATTCAATGCCAACCTGAATCCACGAAGTTATGTAAGAAGCACATTTGTCAACAGGAAGACAAAAGATTTCTACCCAAGGGTCATCACGAAGAAAATCACGGAAAGAGTTCCAGTCAGCTTAAAAGTAGTTGTAAGATGTGCGATGATAGGGGGAGTCTGATGATAAAGAAGAATGAGATAATAGTTTTAGAGAGATCAAACTGTGATCAGAGGCACCTAAGGGTGTGGAGAAACTGAGCACTGACTAGGATCAGAAACAAGACTTGAGTCGAGTAGAGAAGGTAAATGATTCGAGTTATCTGGAAAGCGAGTTGGAAAGTTGACTATTTGAGTTAGGGATTGAGAAAGGCAAAAGTTGTGGGCCTTAATGCCTGCAGAGTCACTGACACTAGAGCCAAGCCATTCAGTGTGATGAACATTGAAGTCACCGACAACAACAATATTGGCTGATGGATAAGGAGAGAGGGCTTGGTCAATATGATCAGAAATAACATCAAAAAGAGTGCAGTCTTGAGATGAGGGAGAGCAATATAGAACAAAGAGAAAGGTGATAGAGTGAAGTGGTGCTAAACGAAAGCACATAAAAGAGTAGTCTGTGGATTCAAACCTAGTTTCCCGACAAATGGGTGAATTCTTACGAATGTAAATGCCCAGGCCAAACACGTGACTATTGGAGCGTGTGACTTTGTTAATAAATAAACCTATAATGCCTTGTAAACAATATCAAAATATAAATTTATGTAAAAAATAGGGAAAGGTGTTTAAAGTCTTATCCTGTTTTGTATATAAAAAAAATTACATATTTCATGTGGGTAACTGTTTAAAAAAAAAAAAGAAATAATTTTTAAATCATGCAATATAAAAACAACATTCATGCAACATAAAAGCAAAAATTACGAGAGCTTGTAAACAAATTGCTTAGCATTTAAGATGGTTTTTCTTTCTTCGATTTACTTAAGTTTAAGCTTACACTAGCTTTGCACATAAGCAAATTTTATCCAGTTCACAATATACTCAGATACCATTTTTCTTTTTTTAAATCTTTCCAGATTTTCCAGGATATGTTCTCAGGATATGCCTCTGGGTATCTTTTTGAGTCCATGGGTAATTTTTTTTTAATTTATACAAACTTTAAATTCGAATTAAAAAGATCTGCCACTCTAATAATTTATTTTTGACAACTAAAAAAATAAATTATACTTGTTGATACCAACAAAAGTAATTAAACACAATCAAGGTAAACCCAAAAGGTAAGGAAAATTGTGTTTTAAATTAAAAATTAGAAATATTAATTATTGTGATTAATGTGAATTAAATTAGTTTTATTTTTTATTTTTAAGCATTTGTTTAGCAAATTTCACATGAAAATTTATTTTAAATTATTTAATTACATTGAAATTGAAAAAAACTTTAAATAAGTGTAACCGTATCTTACTGAACTTATTCAACTAATGCTTTATAACAAAACATTTTTAGAAATAGATATTTCAGTCATCTTTGTTAATTTTTAAATAGTATATTTTAGAGACAAAACTTTAAATTTAAATTTTAGGGACCAAATTTAATATGGCCCTTAAAATATAATAACTAATTTATCTTTATTCATCTAATAAATAAACTTGAATTGAGAAATTTTTTGAACATTTTTTAAATAACAACTGTTACATAAATTTTAATAATTTAGTAATTATTAAAATTTTTATTAGTAATTATTAAAAAAATTATTTATTAATTATTAAAATGTCATAAATTTTAATAATTTAGTAATTATTAAATTTATGTAACTTATAAAGTATAAGTATAAAGAGTTTTGATAATTCTACAGGGAAAGGGTTTTTAATAATTCCACAGGGTTTTAAACATAAGACCCACTGCAAGTCTATAATCTGTATCACATTAGACGTAATCAAAAAAAAATTAAATTTTTTGAAAAATAAAAAAATACTTTTAGTGTTATTTATAAAACTCACCCTTTGCTTGGGAATACTGTCAGTCCTTTTAAATGGTTTGACATTTTATGATACAAAACTAATCTATCTAAGCCATCAAAAGAGCAGACTTCTAGTCTATTTGTAAGTTGATCTGCAAAATATATTTTTTTTGAAATCCAATCAACTGATAAATGTTTTATTTCTGCAAGCTGAAAATCCAATAAAACCTAGAATTAAAAAAATATAAATAACAATAGAAGTATATGTTGTTAAGAGGTCTTTTAACTTTAAAAGAAGTAGCTGTTGTTAAGAGGCTTTTTATATTTGAGAGTATTCCTAATCTAAGTTTGATGTGTTTAAAGGATAAAATACTTAAAATACTTAAAATACTTGTTATCAACATATAAACAAGCATCATAAGCATAATACAACTATAATAGTTATAAATTGTAACATTTTATTTATTAGTGATTATTGACATTAAGTTGTAACAATAAAAAGATTACTACAATGTAGAATTGTGTTTTAATATTTGTTCGATGTGTGGTGCTTTTTTTAAGTGTGTTTAGTTCACTGTCTTTTAAAAAAAGTGTGAAAATTTTTACAGCTATCAGTATCACTTTAAAATATCAGAAGACGCCTGCATAGAAAAAACAAACCACACCCCTTGACGCAATATAATTGCATCTTTTCTAAATAAAACTACGCTTGACAATTTGTTATAGTCACATTACTTTTACCAGATTATAATAGTGGTTAAAATAATCTTTCCATGCGTACCAAATATGTCATACTTTTTGATGAAAAAACTTACATATATTGTAATTGAAAAAACTTACCAGGTCTTAGTTGCATTGAGTACCATAAAACATACCACAAAATGACTGATGCCTAGTTATGTTGAATAACTTTTTATTTGTGCTCTAAAAACTTCTACGTATCTAATTTTTTTTTTTTTTTTTTTCACACATAAATCCTTTTAAATTCTCTATAATCTTCGTGTTACTTATACAATTCAGACTTAAACAAGACAGACAGTTTTTAAATTTTTTTTATTTTTTTTGTCTGTTTTCTTGCTCTTTAACACTCTTTTTTGCTTTTTTTTTCAATTCTTAAATTAAATAGTAGTTGCTTTCAGCATTGTTAAAAGTGAATTAGTAATTAATAAATAAAAAAAAAGCTACGCAATTTTTGTGTGATTGGTGTATAACCTGCTAGTAATTCACAGATCTACAATTTAACTGAAAACATTATATAAAAACTTTTTTAATTTTTATTCTAAATTTAGCATAATTTGTAAATGTGTAAAAATGTGCAAACACTATATACCTACTACTTATTACAACTGAGGTTTTTAGGCGTCAGTCATTTTGTTTGAAAGAAAGATTGTTGGTTTGTTTTTCCAATGCAGACGTCTTCTTTGTAAAAAAAAAAGAAACAAAAGTATAAAAAATTAAAATAAAGCAAATAAATCATTCCAATGCAACGGAAGATTTAACTTATTCATAATTTAAAGTATTTTAAAAAATTATCTTTAAAAAGATTTTAGAAAAACATGGAAAAATAGTTTCAAACAAAATATTATATTTAAATTTATCATTAAAAAAAAACATGCCTACATAAAAAAAATTTAAACATAACATTTGTTAATTTACACAAAACATGTTTATTTTAAACAACCACTGTAATTACTTTTTTATTTTACCTGAGGCCTTTGCTTAAAATAAAAACTTTAGAAAAGATCAATGAGTAAAAGTTACTTACAACAATAAAAAATTTTTTTTACATTTTTATTTGAATTGTTAAAATATCAAAACCACCAATTATATGCTTCAATTCTAACCTTTATGTCACATAATTGGTTCACCATCATTTAGTTTTAAATGAGTAAGGTATGTTTGTTCAAATGACAAAAGGTACTATTTGCTACATAATAAAATAGGAAAAATTCAAAATAATTTCTCAAAGATTCAACAATTCCTTTGAAATAGTTGCTGTTTATAAATTATTGAGTTATTCCTTAAGTTATTTATAAATTAGGTTTATATCAAAAAATCTCCACATTTTAAATATCAAACTAAAATTAATGTAAATCAAAAAAATTATCAAAACTCTTGTAACTATTACCTTTTGTTCTTTTGTTATTATGTTTACAGAAATTATCCTTCGAGACTCTGAAACATAAAACAATGTTTGAGTTTCATAGTCAATATCTACTTCAACAACATCCTTTAAACTGTCTGCCAATGTTACAATTTTTTGGGTTGCAACTTGATACAAAAAGATTTCGTGATTTGAAGCAAATAGAACTCCATCATTAGTTTCTGCCAAAGAAACTAAACAAAATTATTTTGTATTAATGTAATGAAAATTACTTCAATTTAAAAAATGAAAAAAAAAGATTGAGACAGAATATACATATAAGGGGTAGTCTATAAATTACACAATTTTCAACCGTTTTTGATCTCCCCCTCCCTCACCACAAAATCATAACATATAAATAGCAAGTTTTGTACGAGTTGTCACAAAACTACAAACCCCCCCCTCTCCCCTTATAGCGTGACGTAATTTATGGACAGCCCCTAAGTGGTTTCACTTATATATTGTTTTAAAACACACTTTATAACCTTGTTTTATCATTACAACTACTGTTAGGTTAAATGCATTAAAAAAAAACTTTATCTTGAATACATTCAGCTTTATCTTATATCTTGCAGTGTAATTTAATGGCTTCTAGCAATAGAAATTAGCTTAATAGAAATAATTTACTACTTTTTAAGCATTTAAATCAAGTTTTAACAACAAATTATTGTTTACATTTAAAAACATTAAAATAAAAAAATAAATTCAAACCCACATTGCAATCTTTGTAATAAATATCATCAACTTAAGTAAATTCATATTAAAAAAAGTAGAGTAAATAATTATAGATATTTTATAACAAATAATCGAATTAATAATAATAATTAAAAACATAATTATTAAGTCATATAATTTTTTATTGTTTGCCAAACAAACAGCGCAATCTTATAACAATATTTCCAATCAGTATGGTAAAATTTTAAACTTATTTTCCCATACAAGAATAATACTTTATTTACAATAGTTATTAGCAGTTTTAAATACAAATAAAGATGCCATATTTGTTTACATTTACTATAACTGAAAGAATTTCTTAAAAGTCTTTAATTAAAGTAAAATATAAAATATAGCAACAGAAACATTAATTCAAAATGTGGAATTTCTTAAAAGTCTTTAATTAAAGTAAAATATAAAATATAGCAACATAGAAACATTATTTCAAAATGTGGAATTTCTTAAAAGCCTTTAATTAAAGTAAAATATAAAATATAGCAACAAAGAAACATTATTTCAAAATGTGGAATTTCTTAAAAGTCTTTAATTAAAGTAAAATATAAAATATAGCAACATAGAAACATTATTTCAAAATATGGAATTTCTTAAAAGTCTTTAATTAAAGTAAAATATAAAATATAGCAACATAGAAACATTTCAAAATGTGGAATTTCTTAAAAGTCTTTAATTAAAGTAAAATATAAAATATAGCAACATAGAAACATTATTTCAAAATGTGGAATTTCTTAAAAGTCTTTAATTAAAGTAAAATATAAAATATAGCAACATAGAAACATTATTTCAAAATGTTTTGCACAGATTAGATATATAATGGAATTTTATACACTTTCAGATGTGAAATTAAATCCAAAATTATACTTAAATTTAAAATTTAATTTTATGTCTGCTGACAATCTGTACAAAAGAGATATCACTATGAAAGATCAAAATAAAAAGTCTTGAATCAAGCAGAAGTCTTTTATCCAGCAGATGATTTTTTCTGTACAGTCATTAGTTACATTAAGTCATTCAAAGGACAAATGAATTGATCCCAATTGCAAGATCTGGAAATATTTATGTGGTCTTTAAATTTTTAATTTTATGATTCTCATTAAAAATCGTTAACTTATCATATTGCAAAAATTTATGAAAAATTAAAATAATAAATTTACAACTACAAAAAAAAACAGCCAAAATTTAACATAATTTTTTGTTTGTTTAAATACCTGTTAATTCAAGTATTATATATAAAAAACAAAGTTAAATTAATAATTACTAAAAAAATTGGTGGATTTAAAAATTACTCCATAAGATATGAAGGGTAATTTTAAAATCCACTATTAAAAATATAAACTTCGATAGGTTAATATATTTATATATATTAGGCTATCGAAGTTTAAATCAGAAATTTCAATAATAGTAATAAAGTAAATAACATGATTTTAAAATGATATTGTTTACCATACTTTTAAGATCAATGCTTCAATATTTTTTATTGAAGAACAACTATTTAGTTTTGTGATAAAAACAGAGTTTTTATGACAAAATTCAATTTAAATTTTAAATTGTGACTCTTAATTTTTTTGTTAAATTTCTAAATTTTTGTAGGATTGATACCTGAAAAAATCAAAAAAAAAAAAAATTGTCAGTTTTTCCTATTTCAGTGCTTGATTGTCTTTATAATACATTTAAAGACATGCAAATAGGAATGTCCTAAAAAGTATCATTTTACTAAAAAAAATAATTTTATTAAAAATGAATTCTAAAAATTGTAAACTTAAATATGGCAAATATTAGCATTTTTAGAGTATTTTTTAAAACTTCATCATCAAATTAGTGAGTATTTTAAAACTTCTTAAAAATTATTGATTACAATCAATAGTTAAATAAAGAGCAGTAAGCAACTGATATACTGTTATTTTTTTTAAAAAAATTTTACACCAAGTAAAAAGAGTAAGCTTTCGTTTAGAAGCAGCTGATATAATAATTACTGAAAATTAAGAACATTTAATGAAATTCATTTTTTTAATTACTACAGTAAGCACACGAAAGGCTCTTATGAACATTTTTTATGTATAAAAGTCTTTTTCTATAAAGTGTATAAACAAATAACTTGTGTGTGTACAATTTTATATTATTTTAATTTACTTATTTATTGATTGATTTTGAGGCACCCTAATGTACATTCACTGAACTTGTATCAAAAGTAATTTTTGACATAAATCATCAATAAAATTTATTATATGCAAAATTTAATTTTAAAAAGGCATTTTGAGTTTGAATAAAACTAACATAAGTAACTTTTTATTTGTTAAAAAACGAGCAAAATTTTTTTTGATTTAATATCGCCATATTATTTCTATATATTTTTAAAATCACAAATCTTTTGAAATAAATATTATTTAAAAAATTGTGTATAAACATTATTATTTTAAAATGTTGAAGTAAATAGGTGAACCTTGTAATTAAAATTAAATCTACAAACATTGTTTGTAGCACAAAAAAAGTTTTGATAACTTACCGTGACAATATTTTAAACTTCTGAAGAATACTAATACGCTGAATAGTAAAATCATTTTTATTTTACTATTTAAAGATATCCATTGATATTTAAACAATTTTTAAGCATAATTTTGTAAATAACCAAATAAAAATCAATGATAAATAAGTTGGATCACACACCATTCGCCTCCATTTTAATTCTAAAATTAATTGAAATTGGTCAATTAAATATCCGGGGGTTTAAAATACCAGTAAAGAAATATTTATAATAATAAAGTAACTTTTAATAATTTTTTAAAAATAATAATGGTATAAATTAGATAACTTATAGCTAAATACTAACTTTATTTTTTATTTAAAAAAAAAACTATTTAATAACTTCTTTGCTGTACTGCAATTTTGAAGCTCGACCCGACCTTAAGGCTGCTGTTTAAAATTACAAACAAAACGGCGAATGCTGAGCTAACTTAAAAGGCAATTATTATTTAAAACATTTTTATCTTTTGCTCTCGTTTTTTAAGCTTATAAACTAGAAATTTTACATGAGTGGTGTTACAGTAGTAAAGCGTAAGCAGATTTAAGTATTGTTATTATTATTATTACTTTGACTATTATTAATGTTATTATTATGGTGATTGCGGATGAGAAAGCGGATGTGTATTTACTAATATTGAAATATTAAAGTTTTCCAGAAAAAAAAAATTTAATTTAACACTTTGTTACATTGCCTAGCTTACGCTAAAGTAACGGTTTTCATTAAAAAGCACAACAATTTTACAAACATTATAATCGAGCCAGGATAAAAGGAAACTGATGTGCATAGTTAAGGGCCCATAGCAAAATGATCATCCTAGATATACGGAACTAGCACGGAACTACCAAAAACGTCTAAATGATCAAATTTCGAAAGCGTTTCACCATGACACCTAAAGGTATAATGGTGAGCCCCTAACCCTTACCCTGACGGTAAACGCTTCAGTTAATTTTAAAAAGTTGTCAAAAGTGCGCGCACGTTTACATTCTTAATAAAAATCCATAAAGTAGACTGGCAACAAATAATAAAACGCGTATTCAATCTACTAATCGAATTCAGCTGTTTATATAGGACTTTGAACATGGCGGAGTTTAAAAAAATCATATAAAAGGCAAATATTACAAACATTTAAATTTTATGCGCATTTAGGTTATCCCTACAATAGAGTGGCATAAAAGATTTTATATTAGGTGAAATAACTGGAAAATTTGTATTCGCCCTCCAACGTAAAAACTGAGACAATGGCCACCCTAGTTCAGACACAATCTGAAATGATAAGTTTATTTTTTTTAAATAACAATACACATAGTCTATACTAGGGCAATTTTACTGGGTGATTTTATTATGTATCTACATAGCTTTTTTTATTATCTTTTTTTTATATAGTAGGGTAGACCCGACACCTTAGTTAGTTACGATTTTGGTGAAAGTACCAAAAGATTTGTCCTAATTTTCTGCATCAAATCAATATGTAATGTTTTAAAATTATTTACATTACAAATGTTACATGAATGCTTTTCGTAATTTAACCACAATGTCGGTATTTCCCCAGCCATCGGGGTAATTGCGACACCACTTTGGGGTAATATCGACATTAGTAATTAATAAGACAATTATTTAACCAAACATGTTTTATTGTTACATAGAGTAAACAAACATAGTATATAATTGATAATAACAAAGTAAGACAGGTTAACTCTTTGAGATACAAAAAAATTCTTTTTCAAATTGAAGATTAATGAGTAGGGCAAAAGTCACAAATATAGTTTTCAGGGGAATCATAGCCGCTACAATCTGCATGCGCTCATTTTCCACAATAGACACAACGATACCAGAGTTCAGTTTTTTTTCCATATTCACCAACTACTAGACACATCTCAGTGTCCTTTGAAAATAAATCCCGTCGTCAAGCTTGTCATCAGCACATAGTTTAGTTTCATCAATATCTTCCTCAGAAGTTTGTTTTTCAAAAGAAATTTGTCTACGGTATCTCTTCTTTGTTGTTTTTCTTTTAGCTGCGGACTTGTTTTTAGGATGGGTGTTAATTTTAGTTTTCACGATTTTTCCAACATTGCTAGACCTGTTGTTCAAGAGTTTAAGTTTGACTTTAGGTATCATCTTAGGGTTGTCCATTAGTTTTTATAGTCTAAGCTTAGCTTTTACATCTTTAAATTCTTTTTTTTTAGCTTCTTCCTAAACTGCTTTCATAGGGGTTCCTGTCATGATTATGGAGTGTTGCTTTCTGTTATTGCGATCATCTTTATTATCTGTTGACAAAGATAGAAGGGGTGACAAATATTCCAGAGTGTCTTTGAAACATGTTAGGCTTTGAGAGGGTTTTAGAACAGCTTTAAGAACTGTGTCCTGCTTTGAAGAACCAGCTTCTGGATTAGCATAAATCCCTTTTAAATTCAAGCAAGCAGTTTTTCTTACGTTCACCCTTCTGATGCCCTGAATGCTGTCGAGTTTCAGTAGCCGATTTGTTGGTGGTTTCTAGGTGCTTAGCGGCAGACAGATTGGTATCTTGAATTCCATGTTGGGTGGTTCATCAACATTTTCCGTGGTCAATTATGACTGGTTGTTGAATCGTGTTCTTTAAAATTCACACCATTAAATTTTTCTTGATTGTAAGTGATAATACTGGGTGCAGCGAATCATGAAACCCCTTTCTCCATTGTTGCGACATTCATGTATGCTTTGTTAAAGATGGAAGCAATGTCGTACACTGTTATTTTCTGGAAGTAGTTAGCTCTTAAGAATCTGTCACACTGTTGAATGCATTTTTGAAAGGCCTATAAAATGATAAATCCAAAGGCTGTAGCTTATGGGGCGTATGGGGTGGTACAGAAACTACATTAATGTGATTTGCTCTGCAAAATTCATAACTCTCTAGAGAAATGTGACTGCCGTGGTTGTTTGACACCAATAGTATAGAATCTTCTATTGTTGGTTTAGCGTTCTCCTTTAAATGTTTTAGCCAATCTTGGAAAAAGTTTTCGTTTTACCAGCCGTTGTGAGAGCATGTATAAATGGCTCCCGGAGGCCCTCTCTTTCTAGCTGTGGAGACATCCGCTTCCGGGGATAAAAAAACATTGGTAGGACGAATCCTCCAGAAGCACTGATACCACAGACCACCGTAATATTTCTCCCCCATTTCCAGCTTGTAACGGATCCCACCTGATGGATGTTGAAAAACCCGTTTCATCCATATTGAATATTCTTGTTGCCTTAAATTGGTTAATCTAGGTTAGCGAGGAACAAATCAATTTCAGCTTTATTGAAAGCCAGAACTCGATTGAGGCTTGTTGCCGAGGGCTGCCTCAAGCTCAAAGTTGGATTTCTTTTTCTGAAAACAGCCACCCAGTCTTTCACAGCCATCTTAGTAACTTTATTGAAACTATTTTTAATGTTTAACCTGTCAGCGAGGTCAAAGGCTAGGCGACGCAAATCAGTAAGGGTTACGTCATAAAATTGGTTTGGTAATTGTTTTATGTGGTCAGCAAATAATGCTTAGGAAAAATTATAACTTCGTTACAAAACTTACGATTTTAGAGTATTTGAAATATAATTCATTATAATGATTTGTATATATTCGGAATGTAGAATGTTTGAAATTTCAGAATTTGTAATTTTTGAAAAAATGATTTTTTCGATTTTTTCTAGTATAGGACTACCTTAAAAATTTTATAAATAATGAGGCAATACCGACACCTGTCGGCATTGCCCGTGATGGTGTGTCGGTATTACCCCGGTGGAACAAGATGGTGAAAACCTAACCCTACAAACTAATGCTAGCTCCAAATCCTAAAACGGCTATGCCAAAATGTTGGTTTTAATATGTATTTTCTAGCTAACTAAGTGGTTTTTTAGTAATACTAACAATTAGAATCTTACCTTAGTTCATCCAGGTGTCAGTTTTAAGATGGAAGACTTCAAAAACTAGTTATTTATTTATAGCAAAACAAGCAGTAGGCGTTCTCGCATAAAACTCACTGAGCGTTAGTTTTAGTGTTGTCCGCCAGTTAGCAGAACTATACAACAGCGCTTTACTCACAAAATACAACTACAAAGCAAGGTATCGGATTTGCCTTGTGTGTCGGCATTTCCCCGGTCGACCCTAGCTTTTGTACAATCCAATTAAAATGCGACATAAAATTAAATAGTAATTTATCTAATAATGACTGCATATGTATTTTATTTGTTATTTGATGACTTTTTACTTTTTTCAGGCTTTGATGACTAAAATTCACCTTCAGTCCACTCAGCATACAAACTATTTAACAAAACAACTCAGCATATAAACTATTCAACATACCAAAAAACTTTGAGCAAAAATGCAGTAGATCTATACAACTAATTTATCATCTGATTGGCTTTATTTTACATAAATAATCACAGCCTACAACTCATTAAACAAATTTTCTATGCTTTTTTTGAGACAAAATTACCCAGTTAACCATTCCAACTGGGACCCAACTGGGGAAAATGCTGGGACCCATTGCGATTTTGTCAGTGGGATCCAACTGGGTCCCATCTGGGATAAGTTTGGGTTTTTGACGGGAAATCCCATATTGAACCCAGATATTTTTTTTATTTACCGCGGACCTTGTCAACTTTTTATAGTTTGTTTTTTCGCAGATTTTTTGTATCTCGAATCTGCGAACTAATGTGACAATATCTTGATTAAAAAGCGTCGCATTTTTTATATAAAGTTAAAAAGTAAAGGTTATTTATATTATCTATACTGAATTCGCTGTCAGGGCAATAAAATGTATTAGGCAAATGAATATTTGGTCTGACATAATTTTTACGAATCAATTGAAAAAACAGATTTGAATTTAATGATATTTTTAAGCAACAAAAAACTAATATTATACAATGATTTGATGCAAAACTGTTTTACGATAGTAATATTCTGCCGCAGTAGTTCTCTCATATCGCCACTATAATCGCATGACAAAATTCTACTTTAAAGTTTATCGTTATCGTTTTCTTTAGTACTTTCATCCACTTTTACACTAATTTTATAAATTAAAAATAAACATTTGAATAATATAATAAATTATAGCATACATATTTACAAAGTATAGATAAAAATATTTATTGATAAGCATACCATGCAATGTGCCATACCATGCCATATCTTTCATAACTAACAAACACTAGGATAACAAAAACACACGTACAAATCATAAGCTAACTCAATACAATATATAAATCGATATACGTGTTATAATAATAGCCAGATTGAAGTAGAGGCCCAGGGCAGAGCAATTAATTATTCACATAGTTTGTTGTTACAAAAATAACAAAAATAAAAATAAACATATCATATATAGTAAAATATAAAAACAAATACTGGAGTACTGAAGCCTAGATATGATACCATGAATAACGGTGTTTCAACTTCTTTAGTTAGTATCATCATCTAGTTTTAAAGTTTCTTCAGTTTTTCTTTTTGACAGGCATCCTGCAGAGAATCTATAACAATATTATTTCATGGTAAATAACTGATGTTAAAAATTAGGCATGACATAAATAGACTTGTAAACAACAATAATATAACATGAATACTATTTAAATTACCATTTAAAATAATAACATGAATACCATTTAAAATAATATAACATGAATACTATTTAAATTACCATTTAAAATTTAAAGTGTTGACTCAAGTTAACCTGACATCAAACCATTAAATCAGTTGGTGAGGGTTTAATATCTTTTATATAATTTAATAAATGCAAAAATAATCAATATCACTAACATTTTGATTGTACCTAATTAAACAATAATCATTTTAGGTTATATTATTACTTGAAAATAATTATTTGTTACAATTTAAACATATTGAAAAAAATTAAAAACAATTGTAATTTTGACCACAATAAATTTTGTAATAAAATTATTTTGAAACAATGAAAATTTACAATTATAAAATGTTGAGTACTTACATTATTATATATAATAGTTATATTCATGATTAGTCTAACATAATGTATTTTAATTATCGTGGACCAGAATTTATTGTTTAATTTCATGTTGTCTTAGAGCTACATTTTGTGATTATATATTAAACTTATTTCACAGCAGATTCTAAAAAATATAACACCCTAACAAATTGGTTTAAAAAATAATTATACATAAATAACTTTTAAACTTTACTACATTATGACAATGGCAGCTTGTATTGATGACAATACATGCTGCCATTAAACTATTAAAAAATTGACTATTGAAATCATATTGCATGAATAACATTCATGCTTTACCATATATAAATATTATTACTAGTACATGTTATTCTACTAATCAATGATAAATGAAAATAACAATAACTACCATTGAGGTATAAAATGAAGTTTATGTGAAAAATCCTTTAAATGTATATTTATTCCAAATCATGTCACACTATTGTATATGTAGTTTTAAAAATGTTTTTTATCATATATATTCATAAACTTTTAATGAAAATAATGTAAAACACACTATTCTTGATCTAAAAATATGTGCTACACACTAAAAAAAAAAGGTATAATACGGGTATCTTATCCAACCCGAGGGTAGAAAATAATTTTTTTAGGGTAGAAAAATCTACTCTTAAGTTTAATTGGTAAAAAAAGGAAGAAAATTCTACCTACGCATAGTTTTCTACCTTGATGTTAGATGTCACCAAAATGCGGCTCGTAAACCCTAAAAATATCTCACAAATTAAAAAGCTCCTACCCAAAAGACAGACGACGTAAATAATAAATAAAAATAACATAGTTCTTAAAAATATATATATATATTATATAAATATATATATCTATATACATTTTTTTTTCCAGTAAAAAACTAAAAGCTAAATAACTTAGAAATACTTTTTTACATTTGTTATTAACAGATTAATAGCAGCATCCGGTTTCAAGGATGCATGCGGCATTTAAAGTTAACTGTTATAAACTACTTTTGCAGATTTTGAACTGCGTGGACTATTATTATATTATAGTATGGACTATTATTGTCAAGTCGAGTTCTGTAGAAAAGGGTTTTACAATGCACGAGGATTAATCAATCATATGATGTTGCAGCATAGTCATGAAAAACAACTGAGTTTGTCGTGTAGTTTAGATAGTTGTGGTTATCGTTATAACACTGTTAATACCTTTAGGTGTCATCTTTTCAAATTTCATGCGTCTTATCTTGTTTCCATAATTTCCGATAAACTGACTGATCTATCTGAAATTACATGTGAACATACAGAAGAAAGTGATAGAGAAGAAAATATTGTGGAAAAGGAAACAGAGAACATAACCATTATTGAGAGTGTGGATGAAAATGCCAATAAACTTAATACAGAGTTTTCTGATTTTTTAAAATGTTTTGGAAATAATGTATGTATAGCACAGCTACAATTGCGCGAAAAACACATGTTACCTCTTTCAGCAGCTTCTGATATATGTGATATGGTTAAATATTTACTTGATTTGTTTCAAAATAGTTTTGTATCATTAATAAGACAAAGGCTTAAGGTACTAAATATTGAATCAGATGACGATTCTGTGTTGAACCAAATATTAACATTTTCCTCAATTTATGACAGAGTGTCCCAATTATTTGCAACAGATCATCTTAAAATGTTATATATGCTAAATAACCTTGAATTTGTTCCACCAAAAGAACTTGACATGCCAGCTAATGAACTTCACCAGTTTAATGAAAGTGTTGATGGTTCTAACAATGAAATAAGCAGTGAAATATTGTCGCCACCTCTTATAACAAACACAGGTAATAATATTTTTGCAAAAAAACATGATAAAAAAAAAAAAAAAAAAAATCGGTTATTATATTTCAATTCTTCAAACTTTAAAATTTACTTACTATCTTCAAAAAGATGATATATGGGCGAGCTGTGAACGAAATCGTCTAAAACCAGTTGAAAATGATGGCATTATACGAGATTACTCTGATGGCACACATTTTAAATCATTAAATGTTAATAACAATAAATTTATACGTTTACATTTGTATAATGATGAGCTAGAAATATGTAATGCACTAGGAAGCAGACGGGGTACTCACAAGATTTCAATTTTTTATTTTATAGTTGGGAATGTTGACACTCATTTATGGACAAATCTCGATCACATTCATTTAGTATTAGTTGCCCAATACAGTGCTGTCAAAAGGTTTGGATATGATAAAGTTCTAAATAAACTTATGCATGATGTGAAATTGCTTGAAATATATGGACTTGATTTAAATATTGATGGCAGTATTGAACATGTAAATGGTTCTATTGTTACATTCTCTGGTGATAACTTATCCTCTCATTCTTTTGGTGGTTTTTCTACTTGCTTTTCATCTGGCAGAATTTGTCGCCACTGCATGGTTTCGTTTAGGTTTCTTTCAGATGTTCATTCAGAATCTTCGTGTCAGTTGCGAACAATAGATTTACATAAATATCATGTTCAACAAGTGAAGACTGATAAGTCACTTGGTGCTGTATATGGTGTTCTTTCTCGTTGTTCTTTATCTAGTTTACAATATTTCAATGCAATTGAATGTTTCCCACCTGATTTTATGCATGATGGACTTGAAGGACTTTTGAGTGTTAATTTTTCAATTGTTGTAAGAAATCTTATCAAAGAAAAACTATTCACTATTGTTCAATTAAAAGAAGAAATAGCAAAATTCAAGTATAGCATTCCAGATAGTTGTGATAAACCTGCTGTATCATGTATTCCAAATAATTTGGGAACAACCAATAAAAGAATCCATGGAAAAGCAGTAGAGAGATGGTCGCTATTTCATTTTTTGCCGGTTTTTGTCAGTTGCCTAGTAAAAAATCCTGATATACTCCTAAATAATAATTTTTGGCAGCTTCATTTGCTTTGTCGACAGATAGTACAAATCATTTTGGCTCCAGAAATTGATATAAATTGGATACCTATTCTTGAGCATCACATTCAAAGACACCATTCTCTACTTGAATGCATTAGTCCTGTTTCATTTATACCTAAAATCCATTATTTAGTACATTATCCTAGATTACTATTACATTTTGGACCTCTGCGACACCTCTGGGTAATGAGATTTGAGTCTAAACATCAATATTTTAAACAGATTGCACGCCGTGTAAAAAATTTTAAAAATATAACATTCACTTTGACACAACGACATGAAATGCGTAAGTGTGTTACAAATTTCGGAAGAAGCCCATATGTTAAGGGTCCAGAAATTTTAGGTAGTCAGAAAATTTTATCTATAAGTTCAATTCCATTTGAACTTGTAGATGCTATTAAAAATAGGTTTGGTAACACCCATCAAATAAATGGAGCTGAGCAGTTTATATCCACTACTAAACTTAGAATTAATGGACAGGTTTTTTATACAACAACGTCTATTATTTGTCAGAAAAAAGCTAGCAATGACATGCCCCTATTTGGAAAAGTTAAATATATATTATTGTTTCAAGGAACATGGATTATTTGCTGTGTTTTGCAAATAGCAAAAGAATATATTGAATTTGCTGATTTTTATACTATAGAGTGCTCTGACAATTGGGTTGTAGTGATACCTGGAGAACATGCCAATCATTCGTCCCTGGGATCCTATTTTGTCAATAATCAGGAAGGCATTTTGTTTCGTCATCACGTATGCATAGAAGAGAAATAAGAAAATCGAACCTTTACTATATATGAAATTTTATTTCTAACAAAAATATTTGTTTTGATACTTTTGGTTTTGCATACATATCTTAATTTACTTCAACTTGTATTTAATTAGTTTGTTTATACTGTTTATTATTTACCAGTTTACTCAAGTTTTTATTATTAAACACTGTTAAGTATCTGAAAACTTTTCAAATATCTTTTTAAATTATTATTTGATCTTATTAAAATTATATTAAATTATTATTTGATTTTATTAAATCTTATTAAATATCTTATTAAATTATTATTTCATTATTATACTATTAAATCTGAAAAAAAAATTTTTATAAATGTTATATATTTTTATTTGTCTTAGTTTTTTTTATTTGAATTAAAACACTAAACAAATTGGAAATGCCTCTTTTCAAGATATGGTCAGGTGATCGCTTAGTAAAAAAGGCAATTATTGCTGAAAATTTTGATATGCTGGTTGTAAAGGGTAAGAAATTTAATATAATAAATTATTAGTAGTATTCTTGTGAAGAGCTAGCCAGGTTTAAAAAAAAAATTAAATTAACTCCTAATTTTTAAATTTTTATTCCAGTGTTAGAGAAATTCCAGTTTTCCCCAGCTAAAATTGTTTTAAATATTAATGGAACAGTAATAGAAGAGACTGATGTTTTACTCAGTCTTTCGGGTGAAGTGCTACTCGCTCTTCGTGATGGTGAAGATTGGGAATTGTGTAGTAAGTTGTTATTATTAAGGGTAACATTTGTACATTTTCTCATTACAATATTGTTACAGTTTTAAAAGGAATTTTCAAAAAGGCACGTTAATTAAATTTGTTTTTGTATTACCAAGTTATAGGCTTAGTAGAGGGTTGTATAAACAAACCTCTTTTTGATTTTGTGTTTGCAAAATTTAAGCCTTTACAGCTAAGAAGTTCCATCTGGTCAGAAACAATTTTTGTTTCAGAGAAAAATCTAAGTAAATTTAAAAATTTATTAAAAAAGCTGTAAGTTATTTTAATCAATAACAAATAAATTGTATTGCACAATTTATAACTTACCATACATATAGAATTTGTATATGCATGGTAAATTATGAATAAATCATTTATTGCTAAATAGTTATATTGCATAGGTTCTGTAGCTGCAACAACGTCTCCTGATACTTTGCCAATGTTTCCATCACCACTTTTACTGTTACAAGAAGATCAATCTAGTAGCACTGAGCATATGCCTGGATTACAACAATTCCCAATAGTATACTGTTTGCCCAAGCTTCCAAAGTCCTTAAAAGCAGCACTGGAGAAAGCCAGCTCTAAAGCAGATCTAGATATGTCCAGTGAGCGGCAGTTAATTAGAGTTGTTTATGACGATCTTCTGCAATATTCATTGTAAGGATTAGTAACACATGTTTCTAACATGTAACTGTTGTATTATACATATATATATATATATATATATATATATATATATATATATATATATATATATATATATATATATATATATATATACTCATATAGTGTCGCTTTAAGAGCATTTTAATGTAAAAAAAGTCTCTTACGACTACAATTTTAATTACCTCGTCTCTTAAGCTGTTTTTGATTGTCATCGAAATGTCAAAGCAATTAATTTATGCGGAAGTACATTAAATTTAATTGTTTTTTAATAAATTTTTAAAAAACCGCAATTATAACGACTAGAAAGTTTTTTTTAATTAGTGGTGTTTTTGTTATTGATTTAATAAAAAACATTTTTTAAACATGCGTAAATGTTGCTACATCGACTATCTTATAGCCTGACTCGCAACTGAGTGCTGCTACATCGACTGACAAATAGCCTGACTCGCAACGGAGTGCTGCTACATCGACTGACAAATAGCCTGACTCGCAACGGAGTGCTGCTACATCGACTGACAAATAGCCTGACTCGCAAAGGAATGCTGCTACATCGACTGACAAATAGCCTGACTCGCAAGGGAGTGCTGCTACAACGACTGACAAATAGCCTGACTCGCAAGAGAGTGCTGCTACATCGACTGAGGGTTTGGTTTGGCCAGGCAGTCTATCAATTAAAAAAAAAAATTTAATTTTTAAAACTTTTTCTGGTCTGGTTTATTAACGCGCTCTTTAAAACTACAGTTTATGGGAAATATTTTTTGATGCTACGCAAGAGACATGCAAGACTATATATATATATATATATATATATATATATATATATATATATATATATATATATATATATATATATATATATATATATATATATATATATATATAAATTTTACAGAAATAAATTTCTCAATTTTAGGTATCCAACTTCTCAGATGTATCAGGCAGTGTGTCAAGCAATTGTGCAAACCTATCCAAAGTTACAAGATAAAATTGTATTTTTACGTCAAAAGGCATCAAAGCCATACGTAAGTGTAAAGTTGTGTTTTTATTTTGTATAAAGCTTATATATAAAAATAAATGCTGCTTTAAAAACCATTAGAACTTTATAACCAATATTTGTATTTGGAATATATGTATATATGCATGTATATATATATATATATATATATATATATATATATATATATATATATATATATATATATATATATATATATATATATATATATATATATATTTCAAATACAAATATATTTATATATAGATAGATAGATAGATATTTATTTATTTATTTTAAGGCAACTTGGCTAGACAGCTTAAAAACAAGATTTAAGTCTGAAAGGGCAAAAATGCATAATTTGTCATTAGTACAAGAGCACAAAAAGTTTGGTTCAAAGCTGAAAAGAAAAGAAATTTTTACCGATTATGCGGTAACTCCAAAACAGAAGCGTTCAGAGGTTAGCAACTCGATTATCTTAATTCTGTATATATTAATATTTTGTGCGATTTAAAAGTATTTAAAAAAGCATTTAATAAGTAAAATTTTTCTTAAATTTTATTTAAGTTGCAAACAAACAATATGGAGGACTTGCTAAGCTGTAGTGCTCATAAAGTAACTATGTCAAATGAATTAAAAAAAACTTTTCCTGATTTGGCAAAGGTAAGAGATAGAATGGCAAAGATTTTCGTGCACAGAAGGAGAGTTATTCTTAATTCCACCACGACACAAATATTAGAAGAATATCCTGCTTTGAGGATTGCTACAGAGGTTTACCGTAACAAACATTAAATTTTATTCAAATCAATAGGGAAAATAAATAATAAATTTTAATTTGTAAATTTTTATATAATAATTATGTTTTATAGTTGTTAGAAGAAGTACATATGATAACTGAAAACGATGGAATAGCTAAAATAAACCAGTTCTTTACAGCTGAAAGGTCCATTACAATTCTAGAGATGGTCAAGTCAGGGAAAACCAAAGCCAAAAACAACGACTTATTCAATAGTATTATAGCGGCTATAGGATATGAGTCGAATATCAATATGGAAGGTTATCATCTGTGTTTTATTTAATTATTCACTTAGTGATTATTTGTTTTTTTGTTACACAAACTTTTCCAAATATTTTTAGCACAAAAAATTAAAGCATCTATGTTGTGCTTGCCTGCCGTGTTTGGTGAAGCTATTGAAAGATGGATCACGATAAATAAGGTCTCATACATGCTTACAAGATCCACTTTTTATGATATATAAAAAATGTTGCCTACAGGCAACTTTTATTTTAATGTTTTTTTTAACATTTGATTGTTGTTGAATTTGATTGTAAATTTTCATAATATAATTTTTCCATCTAATTGATTATAGCTTTTTTTTAGGAATCAACTCTGAGCACACCAAATTTAACAATAACTTGTTTAAACCAAGGAAATATTCTGCATTTTGAAGATGTGCATATTGCTATTTATCTCGATGGTCAAGTTGTTTGTAACGTTCAAAACATCGATGAAGCAATCAAAGTGTTAATAGCGTGTTATTGGGTTTTTGAGATAGCTTTTGATCCGCAGCTGCAAAAAACATTGACATTTCTTGCGAACTATGTTTGTGGGCTTAGCGAGTACAATGTTAATCCTCCGATTCAGCGTTTGCTGAACAAATTGTTGTAAATTAAACGCTGCTAACAAAATTAAATAGCTTTTTTCAATAATGTGTTGTTTTCCTTGCGTTGTAAAATATCAAATGCCATCGCAATCACCCATCAAAATTTACAAAAACCTAAAAAAAAGTATGCTTTTAAGGGTGGAAAGGAAAACCTTTTGCAAGGGTAGAAAAAAGTACCTTTATAATATTTTACCTTAAAGGGTAGGATATATGATATACCTCTTATGGTAGAAAAATCTACCCTTTAAGGTAAATTTGTCTACCTTGCTTAAGGTAGAAATTTATACCTTGAGGTGTTTTTTTCTACCTCATATAAAGGTAGATTAAAATACCTTAATATGTAGGGTATTATTTTCTACCTTAAGGGGTAGGATATGTGATATATCCTTAAAGGTAGAAATTTCTACCTTTTTTTTTTAGTGTGTATCATAATAAGATTCACATTTCGTAGAAATTCACAGTCCACCTTCTATTCACTGAACTTATCCATTTACAGAAGCCCAGGTCAATATTAGGAAAAACCTGTGTATTTTGCAAATTCTATATATTTTTAATATACAGAAATTATTTTATCAGGATTGCCACTACAATTTTTAAAGTTTTTCCCTGAGTTTTCCCTGAGTAAAGAACATTTTTCCATAAGTTGAACTCTTTAAGTTCCCTGAGTTTTCCCTGACTTTTCTATATTCTTTCTTGTTCATCAACGAAATTATTATTTTCCTTAAACACAATCTTTACATTTGACAAACTAAAACTTTTACAAAAACACCCACAACTACCAAACTTATTATTATATGTATTAACAAAATATTTTTGAAAAAAAAAATTATTGTACAAAATTAAAAAAAAAAAAATTGTTTTCCCTGATTTTTGTGAAAGTTTTAGAAAACCCCTGAGTATTCCAGGTTTTCCCTGGAATTCATGCTATTTCCAGGTATTCCAGGTTGAGTGGCAACCCTTTTTATTTATTTTATCAAACTCTATAAAGTAATAGTTTGAGATATTAAAACTCAGGGAACGTAAAACTTTACTGAACTTTCTGAAACAAAAATATTCAAAATAATGTTGTCAGGTTAAGTGTTAACTTACTAGATTTAGATGAACCATTTTATAGGAGATTATATAAATAATGTGTAAAAAACAAAACATTTGTTGAAGTAATGCATTTTCTGTTGTTAATCATAAATCAACATAAACCAACTCTAAAAACAAAACATAGATACTATTGAACCTCTTTAATAAATTTAATAAAGTTTTATTAAAATTTAAAATTTAATTAAGTTGCATACAAAAATAACATAGATAAAAAATTTATTACCAAAATTTTTTTATCTTTTTTACAACTTTGTAAAGAAACATATTATATATGACTATATGATATCATATAATAACACAATGAAATTAACTTACTATATCAAATGAAAAATACAAAACACTCATGATTATTGAAAGATTCAGTTTTTGCAATATTTAGTATCAAAACTACATTTTCATTTTTATATTGCACTTGAGTAGCATTTTATGATTGTATATTTAATTTATTTCAGAACATATTCTAAAAAAATTATATAACATCCTGTGATAATTAAAAAACATCTTAAAACCTTTAAACTCAATATTTCCAAGGCATTATATAGTTAAACCTTACCATGTTTTGTAAAGTGTCACTAAGATTTGCTTGAAAAAGATAATTTAAAATAAAACACACTAACTTAGTAACTAAGCCATAATTGTTATCACAACAAACCATAAAAACTAATTTGAAAAATTTTCAACATTTGTCTATTGCATAAAAAAATAAAAATATGTTTTCAGTTTGATAAAACATTTTACAAGTCTGTAAAAAAGTAAATAATGACATACTCTCAAACTTATTAATGGTTATGAAATTTAGAGCATTTAAGAAGTATGTTAATTAGCATTTAAGAAGTATATTAAGAGTATGCCATGTTTTTTTTTTTTTTTTTTTGTAAAACCGTTTGTTAAATGAATACCTAAATTTTGCTATAAAAATATTTATACTTATATTATAAATTAAAACTGATATGTAAATAATTATTTTTTACAAAAATACTAAAAAAGAACCAAATTAAGTTCCTGTTCACTTTAAATTCAAGTGTGTATTCAATCCAAATCAATCTGTGTTACTGCATATGTCGTTTTAAAAGATTATCATATTTTCAAGCATAATTTTTGCCGCAATCGTTGCACCATATGGGACCCATCATTTACCCAGTTCAAATCCCAGCCATAACTCAGATCTAATAATCTAGTTACATTCCAGCTGGGACCCAGTTGTTGTGGTTAACTGGGCAGTTTACGGTTTTTATTATTAATTACTATTATTTACAAGTAATTCATAATATAAACTATTTAAATATTTTTTCATATAAAACCTTATACTACAAATTAAAATTAAAGTTATAATATTTATAATATAACTCAAATTATAAATATTATCACTTTACAAAACATAGTATTACTATGTTTTGTAAAGTGATAATATGACTATTAGTAAGGTTTTACTAAGTGACACTGCTATATATAATGCTATATAAGGTTTTACTAAGTGACACTGCTATAATTATATAAATTTTATATATCATTTATATAAACTTATATAAACTTTAGATATCATTTATAAATGCATAATATAAATTTAAGATTAAACATTTTCTATAAGCTATATATTTAATAAAATATTACTTATACTATGAGAAATATATTAACTATATTACTTATAAAATATGTAAAATCTTACATTTAATTAGGTATGCGCACTGAAATTTTTAAATTGATCAGATAGTAGAATGTTATATATCATTAGAAAGGCCTAAAATATTAAAAACGAACAATTCTAAAAAAAGTTATAACATTTTTAGTACCAAATTTAAGATATATGGAATTGTTGAAGAAACTGTGGTCAAAATAATTATTTTTTTCACTTAAATTGTTATAACTTTGTCAATTTTTATCCAAATACCTATATCTTGATATCAAAAGATAGGTGCACTAATGGGCTACAAGTTTATAAAGGTGCCTGGATGTAGGGTGTATCTTGGGAGCCAGAGGGGGTAATGAAACGCCATCTAACCCTTAAGAAAATACAAGTTTTTATCAGAAATAAGCACTTTTTAAATATAATTGTTAGATTTTATACATAAAATATTGCCATAACTTGATTCCAGAACACTGCCAAATAAAGTAAGGTGATCTTAGAGTTGGCCGTAGATGTGGTTATGATGTTATAACACCCTAATACAATAATCATACATTCTAATAATTAATTTAATCTTTATTACAGTAATTAAAAACTTTGTTAAAAAGTAAAAATATATTTTTTTATTATACAACATACATTAGTGATGTACACATTAACTTTAGGGGAGGACGTATGTCGCACCGCCCCCTCTGCCCCGACGCATAACAAAAAAATAAAAATAATTAAATCTTTATTAAAATAACTAAATGTATTGTTAACAAGTAAAAATAATCTTTTATTACTATTCAACATATATTATTGATGTACACATTGACTTTAAATGAAGGGAGTCTAATGCACCACCTCTCCCCCCCCCCCCCCCACCTGACAAAAAATAACGTCATCTTTATTTCAATAATCAAATGTATTGTTAAAAAGGAAAAATAACCTTTTATAACTATACAATATACATTAGTATTGAAAATATTGTTTTATTACATAAAGCAATATTTTTTTACTATAGAACATACATTAGTGATGTACAATTTGAAGAGAAGGATGGTTTTCCCCCTTTCCCTAAACCAACGTAAAAAAGAAAACACATAAAAATAATATTTTCAACATTTTCACATGCAATTATTAAAAAGAGAAAGCACAATACAGAATTGTTTTACCAGATTGCACGAGTATACATTTGCATGAGTATTCATTTTCTCGTGTTTACATGTATTCAGTTGCACGAGTATACATTCTCTCATTTAAATGATCATATTTAACCAACCAACCTAATAAAAAACAAACAAAAAAAAACAAATGTTTTAAAACATAGTAATTAATTTATGTCTTGGCTTTTAGTAAATGATTTTAATTTTAAGTTCCAATGCAACTAAATAAATCATTTTTAACAATAGACACCACGTGAAGGTAAGCCAGAGCCGTCTATCTTTTTTTTTTGCAAGCCACAAAACTTGCTATACCTATTTGCAAGCCACGAAACTTGCGGTTTTTGATTCTCCTTTTATAGCACTTGGAGAGATAACAAAACACAAAAGTATTAAATAGATTATATAAATAGGAATAAAAAGAACTCAATAATCAATCCGAGACATTCCAGATTCATAAATTTACCATTTGAAGGTGGTGCAGATGGAACTAAAAGTAAAATTTATTTTTAAATAAAAAATAAAAACTGGCAATAAATGCATTCATAGTCTAAAAAGTAATAATTTTTAAACTTACTTGACGTAACTGCTGAAGATGTAACTATAAAAAGAAAGTTTTCATCAAAAACCAGTTGATAAGAAATGCAATTTCTTATCAACTGGTTTCAATTGCAAATTAAAAAAAGAATATGCAATTGATAAGAAATGCATACACATGTTAAAAAAAAAAAGTTTTTGAAACTTACCAGGCATAGCACATGTAGAAATAACTAATGGTAAAAAATATCTTATAAAAATCAATATTACAATCAATGATAACTTTATGCGCATTAAAAATAGTTCTTTAACTTACCAGGTGTAGCATAAGAGGTAGATACTAAAATTACAAAGTTGTAGCAAAAAATCAATATTGCAAATAACGAGAAATGCATACACATATTAAATTTATAATTTTTTAAAATTACTAGTTGAAGCAGCTGACTAAGGAACTAAAGTTAAACATATTGTAAAGTTTGCACATTAAAAATTAAGAGTTATGTAACTTACCAGGTGTAGCACACCTAGCAGATACTAAAATTAAAAAATTAATATTGCAGCAAATAGGAAATCCATACACGACAAGTAATAAATAAATAAGTAAGAAATACATATTTATTTATATTTCTTTATTAGTTAATTAAAGTTATGCTATAATAACTTACCAGCTGTAGTCTGTGCAAATTGGCCTAAAGATAACAAAAAAGTTATATAATCAAAAAAAAAAACATCTTGAAATTGTTAACAGTCAATAAAAGTAACAGTTATTAAATCAGTTCTGCTTTACGTACAACAACCTTTCTAACAAAAAAAAAAGTAATAAAAAACATAAATTATATTACTGTATTTTAAAATTATATTACTGTATATTAGAAAAACACTAACAAGATACTTTTATAAGAATAAACTTATTATTGTAAAAGTATCTTTATATTTTTACAAAAATAAACTTATTAATAATAAGTTTATTCATGTAAAAATATCAATAATAATATTATTTTAAAATATCAATAATAATATTATTCTGAAAATATCAATAAAATCATAATATTATTCTAAAATAATAATAATATTATTCTAAAAATATCAATAATAATATTATTCTAAAAATACTTTGCCAAAAACTGTATTGGCTTAAGCCAATAAAGTTTTACTTTAAAGTATAATAATGTCATTTGTATATTTTTATATATATGGTGTATTAACAACATTGGCATCTGATACTATTAGTTAATAAAATATTCCAAAGTAACGGTTTAATCTTAAATCCTAATCTTTTTTAATATATACTATCATTGGTATAACTTATACCAAAGATAAAGGTTTTTAAACTTATACTATAAGTTTAAAAACCTTAATCTATGTTTACATATCATGTAATACTATTACATGATATGCAAACAAAGATTAAGGTTTTTAAACTTATCATTATTGTTTTGTTTTTTAAAAAAGTTATAAGTTTAAAAACCTTAATCTTTGTTTACATCATGATGATATAATAGTAATAATTTTTTTGTTTACCGTGCGCAACCCCCTATCCTCCCCGTATTTCTCTTACCGATAAAACGAAAACAAAAAAAAAAACGAATTTAAGTACCAAAAATCCTACACTTCTTATACTATCTGCTCCTAATATTTTTGGCTGAAATTTGGCATGTACAAAGAAAAAGCATGCAAAAAAGTGCCTGAACAACAAAAAAAGCGGGAACTTTATTCCTTCGATAACAACTTAATGTGAGAACATCAACGAACTTTTCATGAAAGTTTTTAGCAAAACTAACCTAAAAAAGTTTAGTGGTTATACATAAAAGTACTATAAAATCTTTCCTAATATAATTTTTGTTTATATATGTTTCTAAAAAAAAACACCACTAAAAACGTTTGTCTACCTCAAAAAAGCAGTATATTTAATAAAGCACCTCTTAACATATCTGCTCCCTATTATTTTTCGTTGAAATTCGGCACATAAATAGAAAATACATGTAAAGGTGCCTGAACAATCAAAAAAGCGGAAACTTCATGCCTTTGACTACAAATTTATGTGAAAACATCAACCAAATATTCAGGAGCAAAATAATCCGTTAAAAAGTTTATTAACCATACGTAAAAGTTTAAAAAAAATAAAGATCAGCTTCTCTTCTTTCCAAAAAGTATCTATGTGTATATGTTTCTAAAAAGAAACTCCACAAAACTACTTCTACCCCACGCTGCCTAAAGAAAAGTGAAAAAAATGAGTCACAAAATTTTAGCACAAAAATCGGTTCCGTAAATGACATAATGCGCGTACCTATATATATATATATATATATATATATATATATATATATATATATATATATATATATATATATATATATATATATATATATATATATATATATATATATATATATAGGATAAGTATATATATATATATATATATATATATATATATATATATATATATATATATATATATTATATAATATATATATACTTATCCTGTTGCTTCTAAAGTTACAAATAACTCAAGCTGTAAGCGAAAGTATAAACGGGCAGAAGTAACAACAAGTTCGCCTTTTAAAGCTGAAGTTCAATTAGCTACACTTGAAAAACAAGAAAAATTGAAAAAAGCAAAATACGATAAAAGCTGTTAAAGAAAGACCAACTTAAAAAAATAGCTGCAACTAAAAATAGTTTCAAAAATGGTTTAAAAAACCAAACAAGGATAAAATAATTAATGAAAAGGCAAATTGATAAAACTAAAGAAATTTCATGTTGGTACTGCAAAATTATCTACAGTGATCCTAATGATCCATTATTTGATGATGACTAGGATTTATGTTAATCCTGTGAACAATGGTGTCGTTTAACCTGTGGCCAATATGTTAAACGGAAGTTTACTTGAACTGTTTGTTATTCTTGTATTGCTTAGTCATTACTTTATTGCCAAATACAATATTTTGCTTGACAATAGTTTCATTTTGATGCTACAAGCTGATTACTAGATTGTTGTTGTTGTTTTCTTTGAATAGTCCGATATAAACATACAATCTATTAGTTTTAAAAATTATTCCTCTATTTATATTAGAGATGCCGCGAATAGTGATTTTGCCAAATACCAAATACCGAATAATTAGGTTGACCCTCTGCCGAATAGCCGAATATTCGGTAACACTTACAAAATTTCATGGGTGACAGTTTTCAAACTGAATTAGTAAAGTTAATGCCGTAGTCACCCTACGGGTAATTACGAGTATTTGTTTTATTTGTGTGTTTTGTTATGTTATTTGTGGACCATTTGTTACATACACATATTTGTATGTACATCTCTCTCTCTCTCTCTCTCTCTCTCTCTATATATATATATATATATATATATATATATATATATATATATATATATATATATATATATATATATATATATATATATATATATATATATATATATATATATATATATATATATATATATATATATATATATATATATATATATATATATATATATATTTTAATATATTTTAATATATATATATATATTTTAATTTTAAAAAACGTGATCCAAAATGGTTTAATTCTACTATTAAAGCGGCAACTAAAGAAAAATTTAGACTATTTATGAAGTTACGCTGTTCTTCAAGCAAATTTAAAGATAGTATTCGAGTCTTGTAAAACAAACAAAATCGTCTGGTGAAAAAGCTTGTTGCTGATGCTGTACTAAAGTATGAGAGTGAAGTCATTTCCGCTTGTAAGTCCTGTCCAAAAATGTTTTATTCTTATATAAACAGCCAAAAGGCTTGTAAAAGTGAAATTCAATCTCTTTTTGACCACGATGGAGTGCAATTAGTAGATAATTAGTTTATTGCAAATTGCTTAAATAATAACTTTTTTAAAGCTTTTTCATCACCTGAAACTCACTTCAAAGCTTCTGATTTTCCTCGAAGAACCGAAATAGTTTGCTCACCAGTTTCTAGCTCCTTGTTCAATTGTTGCTATATTGAAAAACTTTTATCTGCTCTTGACTCTTCAAAAGGCACTGGTAATGATGGAATCCATCCTAGAGTGCTAAAAATGTGCTCTAAAGAATTCAGTGTGCCTCTCTCTCTCCTGTTTATCAGATCGTTTGATTCTGGACAAGTACCGTCTGGTTGGAAACTGGCTAATATAACGCCAATATTTAAAAAGGGTCAGCGTACTGATTCTGGGAATTACAGACCTATTTCGCTCACCTCAGCAATTGGAAAAGTAATGGAGAAAATAATGCGTGATGTCATGACTGAACACCTAGTTAAGCATAATCTATTATCTTGCCATCAACACGGTTCTGTCAAATCTAGATCGTGTGTCACAAATCTTCTTGAAGTAATGGATATTATTACCAAAGCTTTAAGTGACAACTGTGCTGCATTGCTCATTTTGTTAGATTTTGCCAAAGCTTTTGATCGTGTATCACATCTTCTGCTTTATCACAAACTGGCTGGTTATGGTTTTGGCAATAATATTCTTGCTTGGCTCAAAGACTTTCTTGAAAATAGGAAACAGCGGGTTGTTCTAGGAAATTTCTCTTCCCAATGGAAGGGTGTCCATAGTGGTGTACCTCAAGGATCAGTCATAGAACCTTTTCTTTTTTTAATCTTTATTAACGACATGCCAGAATTAGTCAAAAATAATTGCAAACTCTTTGCTGATGATAGCCAGTTGGTTGCCAAAATAAAAACGTTACGGACTTGGCTTTAGTTCAAAATGATATTGATATGATATGTAATTGGTCAAGACTTTGGTGCATGGAACTTAGCATAAATAAATGCAAGGTTCTAAAGTTCCGTGGTGGTTACATAGACATCAATATCCCCTTGACAATGTTAGATAAAAATGGCAGTCAAATTCCTATTAAAGATGTATCCATTGAAAGAACATTGGGTGTTCTGATACATAATAAACTGAAATGATCAGATTAGTGATGCCACTCTCAAAGCTAATTCTATACTTTGGATACTCAAAAGAACTTTCAAAAAATGGAATCCAACTATGTTCGTGAAGCTCTATACAGCATATGTAAGACCGATATTGGAGTACTGTGCACCAATTTGGTGCCCTTTTCTTCTAAAGGACATTAAAAAGTTAGAGTCGGTCCAACGAAGAGCTACCAAACTCGTTCCACAATTTCGCAGCTTGAATTACAAGAAACGATTAGCATATCTTGGTCTCAGCTCAACGTAGAACAAGAGGAGATGTAGTTCAATTTTTTAAAATTTATAAAAAATTAAATATTGTTAACTGGCAACAGCAGATTAATAGAGCAAGTGCACTCCTATGTGATGGTCCTGCAGGTCATCTTCGTGGTGCCAAGCATAAAATTGATCGAGAATTATCGAAAAACTCTCAAAGACATAACTTCTTTAGAAACCGAGTGGTGTCATCATGGAACGCTTTGCCTGCTTCGTTAGTTGCTGCGAATTCAGTTGATCGTTTCAAAAACAATTATGACAAATGGAATCGTTCTATCTCACGTCGGTCTACGTTAGACACTCGGCTCATAGAAGTCAAACTTATTGTAGAAATACTATAATAATAATAATAATAATAATAATAATAATAATAATAATAATAATAATAATAATAATAATAATAATAATAATAATAATAATAATAATAATAATATATATATATATATATATATATATATATATATATATATATATATATATATATATATATATATATATATATTATCTTGGTTGCTAAAGCTTTAGAGTATTTAGTGGTAATTGCGTTGTTTTCAGTTTATATCAGTAGTTAATGTATTTATAATATAAATATCACTAAAATTTGTTAATAAATGATTTGAATTTACTAAATGCAATTTATTTATTTACAAGTTCGATAATTTATTTAAAATTAAAGACCTTAAATATATTTTTTTAAAAACCGCATAAATACATTAACAATTAATTATGATATATTACTTAAAAACAATGAGAATCAACAATGAGATCTTTGCTTCAATCAGAACTTGAAGCGCGGTTTAACTTTAACGAAAATGACAAATATCTGGTTGCAACTTTTCTTGACCCACGCTTTAAAACTAACTTCTTGGGTATAGTAAAAACACAAAGAGCAAAGCAAAAAATCCTTTAAGAAACTCTGAAAAAAAGTTTTGAAATGTTTAGTAGCACCGATGATGACTCATCTTCACTTCGGAAGAAAAAAGATGTCAATGAAAATGATAAAACAATTGAAATACTCAATAGTTTCTGGAATTGTTTTGAGGAAGTTGCTACAGAAAACTCGCACACAGATGACAGAAAAGTTCAACAGAAAATGAATTTGATTTATTTACGAAAACTGTTCGCCTAGATCGGAAAGCAGACCCTTACAAGTGGTGGTCAGTTAATGCAAAACAATATCCAAGTCTTGTAGAATTTGCTAAGATTTACTTATCATCTCCAGGTAGTAGTGTATATAGTGAACGGCTATTTTCAAAAGCAGGTATAGTTTACGAGGAAAAGCGAAATCGTTTGCTATCAACAAATGCCGAAAAAATTATTTTCATTCATCATAATTTACCACTGATAAATTTTAGTAGTAGAATTATTATTAAAGTAGTTTTAAATAAAAATATTATAGTAGTTTTAAATAAAAAATATTTGTGATTAATAGAATCTTATATATATATATATATATATATATATATATATATATATATATATATATATATATATATATATATATATATATATATAAATATATATATATATATATATATATATATATATATATATATATATATATATATATATATATATATATATATATATATATATATATATATATATATATTTAACAATATATTTTTGCCGTTCAATAAGTATTACAGTTTACAAAAATTTACAATTAAGTTAATGGCCGGAGCAAGAAGAAGGCATTAATTTGCCTTATCGCCGAGCACCGTGTTACAATTTATAACTTTTTACAAAGTTATTGAAGAATATATAGTATATAAGAAAAATTTAATAAATGTTTACAAGAATTCAAAAAATAAAATAAGATTTCGTTTAATACATAATAGCATAAATAGACAAAATAAAAGTAAAAATGAATATATATAAATTTATATACACATTCACACATTTACACATATAAGCGAACATATACCCATATATATGAACACACACAAACATACATATATATATATATATATATATATATATATATATATATATATATATATATATATATATATATATATATATATATATATATATATATATATATATATACCCAGACAGCAAGCTTACATCGGCCCAACGTAAGTTTTAACATTGGCAAGTTTATTCCGTTGGGCTAACATTTAGCCAATGTTTATTTTCGGCGTATTATTTTCAATTCTGCAAATCGGCTTTTTGCAAATATCGTACTATATTGGGCCAACATTTAGCCAATGTTTTTTTGGCGTAATATTGCAATTCTACAAATCGGTTTTTTGCAATTATCGTACTACGTTGGGCCAACATTTGTCCAATGTAGTTAAGCTAAGATTTTGCAATAAAAATCTGTTCTTACTTTACACCGTAGCCAATGTAGTTGTGGATTAGTTTATATTTTTAAATTTGTTGCAAAACAATTTTAAAAATGGCATTGTTTGACAGAATTAAAAAAGGTTTTGATATTATCTTTCCATTTTTTTAAATTATAAAAGTAAAAAAAAAGGTATATTTATGAATCTTCTAAGAATCTTAAAAGGTTCCTTATAAGAAATAAATTTCAAGAGATTCTCGTGACTTAATGTTTTGTTTTTTTAAATAATGAAATATTTGTTAACATTTAAATAATATGCTTAAAACATTTTTTACTACAATCTAAATTATTAATGTAATAATAAAGGCAATAACCAAATTATTTTTTTGTAAGATCTTAAACTTATTTTTTTATACTTATTGCTGTATTGGCATTTCAAATGTTTGATTTATTTAATAATCTTCATGAAATAAATGTAACATTTCAAATGTTCGATTTATTACATAAAGAAGACATTTTAAATGTCTTCTTTATTAAATAATTCAAAAATTTAAAATGTCAAAAAGTGATGTTACTAGAATTTATATTCTACTTATCTAGAGCTTTCTAATATTGCCAGACATTTTATTTTAAGACCAATGACTAGTCTATAATAATTGATTGAATTATAAGGTTAAATCAATAAATAATCTTTTTTTTTTTTAGGAAAAGATAAAATTATAAGATAAAATAAAGATTTTTTTAGATAAAATAAAAATAAAAGAGAAATGTTTTTCACTCTCCTGTAAAATTTTAATTTTGTGACTTGTCACATTTTCAAAATACAGCGCTCAATTAAGCTATTATGTTTTTTTTGGTGCTACCCTTTTTTTTTTCTTAAACTTATGTTTTTTTTAGCGTTCATTCTTAGTCATCCTTAATAATAAGATCCATACTAACATATATAATAAAATCCATACTAATATTCAACTTAACTAATGGCTAAGTTTTATAAGTTTTTTCATTCAAAGCATGTACAGTCTTAGCATTTCCATTCCGTAGATAGTAATTTTAAACATTTTGTAAAAACCATTGTTAAAATTGCTCAGGGAAATTCATCTGATTTTTCAAAAAAGTCATTGAATTTTATATATATAGTTGGCTACGAACCCTGTTGGAGAAACATTGTTTTAATATGAATTTTTTTGTTTTACAGTGCAATCTGTATCTCAAACATTATGGAGAATTGTTTTGTGTCAGTGCCAGAAATTGAATGCACACCTGAAAATTTCATAATTCATAAAAATATTATGAATCCATTAGCAAGTATATATTTTTATCATCAAATTTGTCTCTCTGTCTTTAATTTTATCTGTTTTATTAGTAATTGCTGTATTTACTTTCATGAATTCTAAATATAATACGTAATTAATTGTATAGTTTCTTAATCATAAAATTAACTTTATTGTTTCAAGTTGTATCCTTGAAAGAATGCTGGTATTATTAGCACAATTGGCAAGCATTGAAGTGCAACTTGGTGAACTACAAAACTCATCAAAGGCAGTTATAAAAATTTGAGTAACGAAGGTATGCTAATTATTGTATTGCCTGAGTGTCATTGCCATTGAAAGCAGTGAAGAATTCAAGTACTTTGGAAGAAAAAAGACAAGAAAATACTTAAGTAAATGGTAAATATTTTTTTATGATCTTTTTATGCATTTTGTATGATATCTTAGTACAATTTATATACTTTAAATAAAATACCCTTTGAAGATTTTTTGTAAATGACATTTTATATTAATTTAAGTCTAAACTAAAGTTACTTTAATTATTGCGATGTTAATTATTTGCCACAAATTGGAGTTGTATATGTTAAAAGACACAAAAGAGATTGTATATGTTATTTACTAAGAGTAGTTTTTTAAAATGACCTAGCTGTAAAATTAAACTATGCAGGGAGAGGACAAAAAATTGGAATAGGAAAAATGTTGCTTGCAATGTTGCTATTGGTAAGTTGTTTAGAAAAGTTTATTTTTTCAGTTTCAATTTTGCATTACAGAATTACTTTAAATTTGTTATGTTTCTTTGGTACATAATTAAACAAACAACTATTTTTTTTTTTGCAGAAACTGGGAAGTCAAATAAGCATGGCTTATGCAGACATGTGATAGAGATTGTGGAAGAAAAAATAATAATCGTGGGCACCAAATATCATAAGCTAAACATGATTCAATAACAAGTAGCTCAGTCAATATCGAAACTACTCTATAAATTTATAGTGAATTCTTTTATTTAAAACTCAATGTGTCAGTTTTTGGTTTAAGTTTGGTGTTTGCAATATGTATATTTAACCGAGAAATTATGTTAAATAAATAAATTTTTATACTTGTATCATACATTCTTGGTTTTCTCTATAACTTTTCAATGTAGCAATGCAAATCATCTTATTTGTAACAACGGTCTAATGTTGCATAAAACGTTAGGCCGATATAAAAATAATAATCGTATAACATACGATATTGGGCCAATGTTGCATACAACGTTGGGCCAATGTTAGGTAAACGTTGTATGCAACATTGGCCCAATGTTGTACACAACGTTGGGCCAATACCTAACCAATGATCAAACCTGCATTGGGCCAACATCGACTTTCAACGTTGGGCCAATGCATCATCATGCATTGGCCCAACGTTGGTCCAATGTAAGCTTGCTGTTTGGGCTTGTCTCGTGATTCGCTAACGTTTTTTTCAATTTCGAGCCTTAATATATGAAAAGACCTTAGGTATCACATATTTTTTTTCATTTTTTGACACAATATCTACGATACTTAAATATTTTGCAAGAGATGTGTGAAACTCTTCACCGTTAGAAAAAACTCCCATATCAAATTGAAAAATCTGAATGTTTTTTTTTTCTTGTATTTTTGAACTATGATAACTAGCCAACCGTACATTTTCACGCAACTTCTTCTTACTTTTTCAGAAAGAGCTTATGGGTTACATCTGATATTAACTAAAAAGATTATGTGCGATTTCTTGTCTTGCAAATTTGGTTCAAACATTTTAGTTTTAAAACCGGGCCCGAGGTAACGAAACATTTTCAGAAGTTTTTTTTCCCAAGCAGGTTTTTTTTATTTTCTGAGCAATACATAAAAAAATCAAGCAATTCGGGACATTGCATTTATTTTTATAACGGGAGTTTACGCGAGTAAACGCGGGTAAGTATGTAACTTCTTGAAATCTAATTTTGTGGATTACATCGTATTATGATTTTTTATACGAATTTCGTATAAGTTGTTTTTTGAATATTGTAAATAAATTTCAAAATTAAAGTTAATTTAGTGGCTGGATAGTTCAGTTGGTTGGAGCGTTAAACGAAAAGTTAAAACCCAGTCTGTTGTATGATACGAGTTCAAATTCTGCCATCGCCAACTCTTGAGTAGTACGCAAAAATGAAAAATAACTGACGCTACTTTGGATTAGTCTTAATGACTATTTGTGGCTGTTCCTATGCTAAACCAACAATATCTTCGGATATAAGAATATTGTATAGAAAAATTTAGCATGAAAATTCAAATAAAAATTAAAAAAATAAAAATTAATTTTAATTTTAATTCTATAAATGTACTCTAGATAAGGATGCCTGCCCGGGTACCCGTCGAACAAACGGGGGCGTACCCGGGCACCCTCTAAAACAATTTTCACACAATTTTAGATTAGATTATACAAGTTTTCATCACGGTTTAGAAATACTAGCATGTCTACCGTTTTGAATACTAAAGATACTCGTCGTTGATCCACAATGACTAGCAGTCAAAAAAGTGATGGCATTCAAGTTGCAGGTATGCAACAGATCTGATGGCATTCAAGTTGCAGGTATGCAACATCAGTGTCATCAAAACGCGCTTTTTACTTTTTAAAATAACGTAAGTATATCTTTCATCTTCCAGGTTTCAAATAAGTTTTGTCCGAAAGACAAATTAATAAACAAGTTAGAGAAGTTCTGGTTTACGTAAATGAAAACATTATTCAAAGAAATGATAATAATCATCATTTAGGAATAATAAATAAGTATCTGAAACTTAAATAAACTCCAATTGTTAGGTTCTATGTTTTCAGAAATTCGGATGAAAATAAAGTAACTATTGAAATTTTTAACAACAAGATCTTCAAGATCTTCGTTCACTTACCATATTGACACTATTAAATTGTTATCTTACGATTAATGATTTTAAACTTTTAAAATAATTGAAACTAATCTTAAACTTATCAAATGATGGCTATCCATCATTTAACAATGCTACCCGAGCAGTAAGCTAGGGGCGGTCCCGTAATGCCCGTCGATAGTTATACTCTAGATATAAATGAAATCGAGTTAAATTTATTTCTTACTGTTTAACCGGGGGCTGCATAGTTTACTTTTTATACAATAAGACTAGTGAAACTTTTGAAAAAACATTTTTGAGGATTTTTGTATTAATTAAATTGGTGAGCCGGTTTTAATTATTTATTATTTTTTCCATCTGGTAAAAGTAATATTTTTTTTCTTCATTTTTTTTTTTTTTTTTTTTTGTGCGTGGATTTTTTGCTAGCAATGAATACTCTCAAGTGCTGTATTTAAATTCTATTACTAATTTGTCGCAACAATTTCTTTGTTTTTAATCATTCTTACATCTTAATGCGGTTGAGATTAAAACGGCGCACCCATAACTCGGTAAAAAATTAAAAAAAAAAAAGTTTAAGTGCTAAAAAAGCCAAATTTGGTGAGCTATATAACAAAATAGACCACGTTTTAAAGGTTCACTTCTTTAAGACGTTTAGAATTTGTTTATAACTCATTTTACTTATTCTTTTAAATTAAACAACACTTGATGTTTAATTTTTGTACAGTGTTGTTTTTTATAAAAATATTTAACTATAATAAAAGTTACACTAAGTGTTATTTTGTTATAAAACAACACTTAATGGGGTACCTTGATACACACTACGAGCATCATTAAAAAAGTAAATAAAAAGTATAAAACATAGAGAAAAGGAAGATTTTTATTTAAAGTATAAACAAATTAATATTTATAACCCAAATAATTCATCCAATGGTTCAAATCGCATTTCAGAAGACTAGATAATATATCGTTTTAAGTGCCATTCTCAAGCGTCAATAAATAATTTGCTTTGTATCGAAATGTGATCTCCTTGTATTATATTTACATAAATCTTTTTAAAATTAACTATAAATATTAAAAGAAACGATTTTTAGAATTTTTTAATACACAATGTACTATTCTACAGTTTTAAGGTCCCCCTCAAATGCTGTATTAAGTTAACCCATACTTGCTAACAGAAAACAATCACTTTATTTTTAATATTAACTTGTTTTTAAGGATTTTCTTTAATGAAGTAAAAAGCTTATAGATTATAGTTTACAAAATGTCACTTATCGATAGACACATTGAATAAGACACTTTAAAACTTATGAGCTTTAAAAACTAATAAATTCCTTTGTCATCAAAAAAGCACAAATTTCGACCCCAGACAGACCTAATGATGTCAAATAATATAATTTTTTTTTCAAAACATAGATATAGTAGTAACTGTTTCACTATATAAAAAAGTTTGTCACAACTCTTATTATGCCTCCACAATTACATAGTTTCATGGTGTCCTACTCTACCCTAAATTTTTTTAAAATAAAACAACAATGTAATTTTATAAAAGTTAAATTTTTTTTAAGTAAAACAACACCATGAATGGCAAAAAATCCCAGAAATTTTCAATCTTGGGATTTCGGGATTGTGAAATTTGTCTCCGGGAAATCCCGGGATTGAATAGAAAAAAAAAGCAAACGCAATTGAATACTTTTTAAGCACTCATCAAACACTTAAAAATCATTAATTTAATGATAATATAACCAAAATATTTAATCATTAATAAACCTCTAAAATTAAGTTGAATCATGTTTTAACTTAATTTTGTATTAAAACTTATCTAAGACTTTTAAAAGTTAATGAGCCTCAGTATCTTAAGTTATAAAATAACACCTTAAAATGGTAGCCAGTATAAATAAAAATAACAATTAAAATATAGTATAAATATGCATGACATCATTAATTAACCGGACGCTAAGAAAATTTCGTAATATAATAAACCTGTTTTTTGATAACTTTATTAATTAAATTGACATTAAAAAAACTTTCGTAAATCACGCATTTTCATAAATCACTCATTTGAAATTAAAATCAATGGAAATAAAAACCCTGAACTTCAATCACAGCACGTTTGTAATTAAAATGAATGGATACATAAATGGAATTAAATCGCGCACACTTTAGGAAGCATATATATATATATATATATATATATATATATATATATATATATTGCAAAGAGAATAAACAGTTACAGAACCAAACAGCTGCTATACTAAAGACGGTATACAAATTACTTTTACCGGGATTAGTCTCCGAAATCCCGGGAAATTTTGGAGACTAATCCCGGGATTTTGGGGTGAATCCCGGGGTCCCGGGATTGCCACCCCTAAACAACACTAAGTGTAACTTTTATAATAGCTAATTTTTTTAATAAAATAACACTTAGCGTAACTTTTATAAAAATTAAATTTTTTTAAATAAAACAACACTTAGTTTAACTTTTGTAATAGTTAAGTTTGTGAATCATTTAGACATAATGATAATTAAATAAACCAAAATAAATAATTAAAAAGTAAAAGTACATTATATTTTATTTGACACAAAAATTTGATTTGACTTTCTTTGCAACAATGCGTTTGCAACTAGTTATTACTCCCTAGCCATAGATAATGGACCAGGAGCACCATTAGCCTGAGCTTCCTAAAATAATAAATGTGCAAGTTATATAACATTAATTTTGCTGAATTTAATTTTATAATTGAAGTAGTTAAATACAAATCCACTTTTAAAATCTCTAAGCAAACTTGAATGATAAGTTAGTTACTACATTTATATCTATTGTATAATTAATATACTATAATTATTACCATAGGCTATACCTAATTAGTTTTCGAATCACAATATGTTCTATTGTTTTAGAAACAAAAATTCTTACTCGTGATTCCTGAACAAGAGCACAGAGAGGGCAAAACAAATGACAAATGAAGTCCCCACAACAAGATCCCTAAAAAAACATTATTAAAAATAAAATTAAAAAGTTCAATTAATGATTAAAATCGGATGGTGAACACTGATAAAGTACTAAATATAATATTGCGTATGCACATTTAAAAGCTCATCTCACATATAATGTACTAAATATAATATTGCGTATGTACATTTAAACGTTCATATGTGTGTTCATTTAAATCACATATATAAATAAATATTACCTCTATATTATATTTTTCACGAACTTTTGAACGAATTATGGCTCTAGTTATTGGTCCAACACATGTTATACCTAAAAATCCATACAGACAGCAGTTCTTGTTGACGTGTTCAGCATTTTTACCAGCCGTGACGCAGGGCAAAAAATATGTTATGCAACAAGTACTGATATCTGAGCAGCAACCACAAATTCCATTTTTAAATTGCGACATTTATAAATGCTAATTCTAAAATATTTTTTTTAATTTTTTTTTTGTGAAAAAAGTAAAAAGTTATCGGTGACCATTTTTATATCAGAGATAATACCTCTTGCCGGGGGTTGAAAAGTTTTTTTTATCTAATAATATCTTACTATTCTAAATGATTTAACTAAACTAAAATATATGATAACTTTTGAGAAATAGTTTCCAAAAAAATATTTTTATAACATCCCTAAAGTTTTGACAATATTTCTCAAAAATTAATTACAATTATTTAAATAAACATCCCTAACTAAACAAAAATAACATCAAATAAATAGCGAATAAAGATTATTACCCATGGATTGTTATGGATTTGATTATTGCTTATGGATTGTTATGGGTTATAAAACCGTTTGTTACTTTACAAATAAAAGGTTATACATTTAAAAAAGATTATAGAATTTTTATTTAAAAAAAGATAATAGAAATTTTATATGCACAGTATGCAAATTTAAAAAAAAAAAAAAAATTAATTTTTATTTATTAAGGCGCCTTTCCTATATCTTATAACTAATGTTCTAAAAAATAGATAAATTCAAGATAGATAACGCGTTTTAATACCTTTCTTGTCATTATATTTCTAGTTCATCTCTAAAAAATTTATTTTGTTGTTAGCTGTTGTTGTTGTTGTTGTTGTTGTTGTTTAAATTTGTCAATTATTTCTCAAAATTTAATGCAAACTAGAAATAAAGACTTAATATTGAAATAATAGCGAGTAAAAATATATTAAAATTGCTTCAACAAAGTGGTCTTCTCCGTTGACTGCACCCATAAATGTAAAAAAAAAAAATTACTCGACAACGTACAAAAATATATGCCCTTTGAATTGTATCAATACAATGGGCTAATATATTAATTACTGATCACTTTATTCTGTTAGAAAAACTAAAATGGTACTGCGTAATATAAATTATATCGTTAGATAAAAAATTATCTATCAATAGAAAACAATATGTTCAAAACAAGAAATCTGGAACACTGAATATTCTGTATGGAGTGCCTCAAGGATTAATCCTAGGACTGCTCTTATTTTTAATTTATGTTAATAATTTTAATAATGCATCAGTAAAACTAAATGCTATCATGTTTGCAGACAATACAAATCTAATTTTATCTAACCGCAATATTAATTAACTATATGCTGACATGATCATTAACTATATGCTGACATGATCATTAACTATATGCTGACATGATCATTAACTATATGCTGACTGATCATTAAATTAGAAAAATTAAATGATTGGTTCAAGTCACATAAACTTTTTCTTAACGTTAAAAAACAAAACATGTTTCATAAAAAAACACAAGAAAAAAACCTTCCTCTAAAGTTGCCAAAACTTATTATAAATTATAAACAAATTTATCATGGTTCCTACATATAAAACATATACAATCAATAATTAGTAAAACCATTAAGTATTATATATCGAATTCTATAGCTTCTATACTTTTACTTAATTCATTGCTACATTACTTATGCATTTATTACATGGACAAGTTCTCAACCAACAAAACTTAAAAAAATTCTTTGCTTACAAAAACATGCTTGTAGAATTATATACAACAGAAAACGGGGGGACCACACTAAACCTTTAATGATGGATATGAGAATGATGAACATACATTAGATAAATATTTACTAACACCTAAACTTTACCAATAATCTAATCTTTATAATCCTGAAATCTTTATAAGCAATAAAAATCTAAATGAGAAGTATTTCTTAAGAAAAAATCAAAAATATTAATTACCTAAAAAAGTAAACAAATACACAGAATATGGTACAACTTATAGAGGACCTAAGCTATGGAACTTTTTTTCTGAAAGGCTATTTAAATATAGCAAAATCATTAAATTGATTTCAGCATCAGACAAAAACGTTTTAAATCTTACGGAATTTTTATTTTTGCTTACAAAATAATTTGTTTAAGCATTATACCTTCTTATTTAATTGTTTGCATTTTTAAATATTGTATGTAAACTTTATATACTATATGTTGAATATTATATATTTTTAATTGGAAATTTGTATTTAAATATCTTCTTTTATGACTTTTTGTGACTATTAGTCCTTTAGTAGACTATTAATCCTTTAGTAGACTATTATTCCTTAAGTAGACTATTAGTCCTTTAGTAGACTGTTAGTCCTTTCGTAGACTATTAGTCCTTTAGTAGACTATAAGTCCGTTAGTTCTTTTATGACTTTTTGTGACTATTAGTACACTTTAAAAACAAATCAATCCATGATAAAAAATGCTTTTTTCCGTTAAATTAACGAAATAATTCGTAACCAAAAATCATAAAATTAACGGAGTAAAATTAACTATTTACGGATTTTTTCGCAATTTCATTAATTCAACGAATTAAATATTCAAATCAGTTGAAAAACAACTGAACTTTTTATTAAAAGGGTTTCCAAAAAAAATTGTGAAATGCTTTCTCTGTAGATTATTTTTTTAAATCTTGTTTGATTTAGATTTTTATCAATATATTATAGTTCTTTATTCATAAATGATAAAATTTTATAAGGCGTTTTTCTTTCACATTTAAATCGCAGAAAAAAGGTTTGTTGCAGTAAGTTTAATTTGCCATTTTTTAAATAGCTTCACATTTCGACTGAATGTGAAGCTATTTAAATTTTTCTCTTTCTTTTTCTCTATCTTTTCTCATTTCTCTGTTTATTATGTATACATTTGTAATTATATTTTTTGTGAAATAAAAGTATATAAAAAAAATAGCAACATAAAAATATATTTAAAAAAAAAAAAAAATTATATTGGCCCTTTATATTGATACAATTAAATAAGTTATACAATAATTATATATCATTACATTAATTGTACTTGAATAAATTGTTCCAAAAGTAACTAAGTATAAAATGTGTCGAATAAAAATTTTAAATAAATGTTATTTCTAAAATTTTTCGTCTAGTCTAATTTCTAACTAAAGAGAGTTTTAACAAAAAACTGTTTTTTTAATTCATAAAAGTTTAACCTTAATCCACACCCAATAAATTTGTTCGTTATCATCGCAACTCTGAACTCTGAACGCGTATAATAGTAACGTATAATAGTAATAGTAAAAATTTTTTAATTATGCTCTCTTTGCAATAATTACATTTTACTCTAATTCGTCGATCGCTTAATATGGTCACTTTACTCTTTTTTAAAGCGAGACTGAGCTTGTTGTAACCTTAATAAACTAAGCGTTTAGCTATAATTTGTTTTAATTGTGACTTTGTTAGCTATAGTTTTATAAGATTCAGAGTGATAAGACTGTTTGCTTTTGTTTACTTGTTAATTTTATTTTGAATAAGTATATTATAACAGTTGTATACAAGAGGCGGGGGGGGGGGGGGTTGGGGTGTCGCGAGGGACAGTTTGTCCTGGGCAGTAGATATCCAAGGGGCACCAAATGAAATGTAATTACCTAAAAAAAAAAAAGGTCCTTCATTTATAATATAGGGAAATTTTGATAAATAAGGGCGCCAATCAGGATTGTTGTCCCAGGCGGTGTGACAGCTCTCAATCAGGATTGCTGTCCCTCAGGCGGCCCTGGTTGTATATAAATTATAAATATATATATAACTAATAAATTTTTTACACTTTTTTATTTTTAAATATTTCATATTAAGTAGCACTGCCTCGTTTTCATGGAACGTCTTATGAAAAGCACCGTTAGCTTGGGATTCGTCTAGCGAATTGGCTACGGCTGCAATTTGAGCTTGATAATAGATGGGATGCGAACGGTACAATGGTAGCGGACATTTTCTGATTGAAAGTAGTCTATCGGCGTCGTTATCAATAACACTTTGAAAATATTTTAAAGGAATATGGTTAAAAGACATCATTTGTTTACATAAACAGCATTTATTAATCTATAATAAAAAGTTATAAACATGTTAATAGCATTTGAACATTCACAAACAATTTTGCAAAGGAAATCCTAAAACTTTGATTGTTTTAAATTCTTGATTGTTTTTGTTGAATTTATTTTTTAAGCAAAATGACAATATTAAGAATATTTTTTTTTTATACCATTGTTGTTCTTAATATATCATTGGCTTAGCATACATTTTATGTTTGTAATTAAGTAGTATTTTATTTATACAAAAGCAATTCAATGGTGAATCTGTTACTAATTTCATAGTGTGTTAATTTAACATTCTTTATACATTGATTATTTTAAATGTCACTGTTGTGCGATTAGAATATTTCAAAAGTGTAAATGCTTGCAGCAAGAATTTTGATTTTTGATTTTCATTCAAAATATATGTAGTAATTTAAAATATTTAAAGTATATATATATATATATATATATATATATATATATATATATATATATATATATATATATATATATATATATATATATATATATATATATATATATATATATATATATATATATATATATATATATATATATATATATATATATATATATATATATATATATATATATAATATTATTATTATTATTCAAGACATGTTTCGCGTATATATAGTCATCATCAGTTAAACAAGTAAATCATGTTAAAATGACTCTTACCATTTAATATAATTAACCGGTTCTTTTGTTATATTGGATATTTTTTTTAATAATTTTTAATAATTCTTTTTGTAATATATAGGAAGTTTGTTGTCAATTTTATGGTTTTTATTATGTTTATTTTTACAATTCTATACTATATTTTATACGGTTTTTAACAAATATATATATATAACTGATAATGACTATATATAGTCGAAACATGTCTTGAATAATAAAATGTTTTTAAACAAAATTAAGAAAGTTGTCTAACTTTTAAAAGTATTTTATATATATATATATATATATATATATATATATATATATATATATATATATATATATATATATATATATATATATATATATATATATATATATATATATATATATATATATATGTATATATATATATGTGTGTGTGTGTGTGTGTGTGTGTGTGTGGCTGTGTGTGTTTGTGTGTTTGGCAACCGCTACATTAAAAAAAATTAAAAAACGTGACACAGCCAGGCCTGGCTCGAGTAGGTGTCAGATGGGAGGAGAGGGTAAGGGGGGTACGTTACGGATTTTTGCCGACTGCCAACTTTAAAAAAAAATGTCTTACTAAGAACATAATTTCAGCAGAAACATAATTTCACCAAGAACATAATTTCAATCTAGATTTAAATTGCGTTAATATCATTACCCTATATGCAGTCCATATTTTATCTAGATCAACTCTGATCCGAGTAACCCAGATAAATCCCAGCTGGAAACTAGTTGTACTTTTTAAATGAGAACACGATAAGAAACAATACATGAACTTTGTCCATGTATTGTTTCTTATCTATATTAATTATATCCCAGCGGGCACAGGCAAGTACAAAAAACATATAATGAACTTTCAGACGGAAGTCTCGGACGCGTTCTAAACTGATTCTAGATTAGCCGCTAAACGACGTTCTAAAGGCGTTGTATAGAGACTTAAATAAGACGTTCACATACAATTATACAAAATTTCAAAAAAGTTTCAAAGGTATTCGTTATGCAATGAACGCATTGTAGCAATAACAGATTCTTGTAGGGTTTTGGGGACAAAGTTTGAACGTTTAGAAAACATAACAGAAACTACAATCGGTGAGTCTTATTAATTAAAACACTTAAAACATAAGATTAAAAGTATACACAAGATCAAATTTTTCAATTTCAAATTACATATTTAAAAGCATAAAAACTGTGATCATGGTTTAGTTTTTCAAAGTCAACGAGGCCTTTTCTGTCCGGTGCCTTTTTAAGACATCTCCAACGCACTTTTCTAGTTCATTATTAACATACTTTGGCATATTCTCTGCGAAATACAAAAATATATATATAAGAAATATTTATAGAATATACAATAAAGAATATAAGAAAGATTCAATCAAGTTAGTTTCCGCATAAGTGAAGGCTAACTGATTAATATTAATTATTTAATACTAGCAGTAATACGCGTTGTTAGTAAAAAAAAAAAACGCGTTTAGAAAAGCCTAGAAACTACTTTAAAATAGAAAAGCCTAGAAAATGACGTAACTCGACTAATAATAATATTAAATTAGCGTATTCATATTATCAGAAGTAATTAAGTATTAACAAAAAAAAAAAAAAAAAAAGACAATTTATTTTTATGTATAATCAAAGGATCCAAAATCGACAAAAAAAACTCCGTCAGAGTCGATAAAATATCGGAGTTTCGATTATATTTTGTTATAAAATAGAAAACTAAGCTACCAAGTTGATAATTAAACATTTTTTTTTTGATTTATTTTTTAAATGTTATATATTTCAATTTTTAATCCATTATAAGTTTATAAATTAAATTAATATTTTTGTTTTTCTTAGTTTATATATATATATATATATATATATATATATATATATATATATATATATATATATATATATATATATATATATATATATATATATATATATATATATATATATATATATATATATATATATCTTTTTATCACAATTCTTTTACAAACAGGTTTAATCTAATAAATGGCTTGAATTCTGTGGACGGCTAGTTTAAATTTCATATTCTTTTAACTGATTGGGGAAGGTCTTGACTATTTTTGGCTTTTTAGCTGTTGATTGATTTTGATTTAGAGCTTCTTGAACTTTGGTAAAAAGGAATGCTGATTGTGCTGGTTCTCCATTGTTTCCTTCGAGTAATTATTAGGCAATTTTAAGTGACGGATTAAAACTTCTTTTCGTTTTTGGAGGTCCTTATATGGGCCAGAGCCTAAAAATGACTAAAAAAAAAATGTCCTCTAAAATTTTTGAGAGCCCCTTAATTTGCGGGGCCCGGGACTATAGCCCCCTAGCCCCCTTGATCCAGCACTGGGAATTCTCCTTCAGTCTCTCCAACAGTTTCCATTTCTGTTTCAATATCCGATTCAGTTTCTTTGCGGTCCACAATTTCGTGACTTTTTTAGCGTATATCAAATCAAAAAATAAGTTTAAATAAGTTGAATAATTCTGGCAAATTTGATGCGGAAACTTAGTTATGGTATCCAGTTACAGCATCCACGAACAGCTATCCGTAATTTTAATTGAAATATATCATTATCTAAGGAAAATGCTTTTAAATTTTCTATCATAAAAAATGTTTAAATGTTTTAGCAGAACATGAAGATGTCAATTTCACTTTTCTTAAACAATATGTGAAGTTGTGGTAAACATTTAAATTATAGTATCTTCTACTATTCGTCACCTGTTAATCTTCAGATATTTGTTTTAAATTCATTTAAATTAAATAACTTTGGTTTGAATTAACTAAAGGTTTAATTACATTTACCTTTTCAATAAATAAACTTAATATTTTTATATTTTACTTTTTTTGGTTTTTAAAATTCAATTATAACATTATAAAACTCTCTGCAAAATGTGACGTCACATTAGATTGTCTTTGAAAAATATTTTTTTCTAAAGATAATACTTTCATTTTAAAAACAACAACTAAGATTTATTGTAAAATCAACATAGAAAAAAAAAAAGGAGAATTTAGTTGTTTACCAATAAAAAAATGATTTTTTCCAAAAACTTTGTCGGAGTTTTGTCGAAGTATCTCGAACTCCGAAACTCCGAAAAAACCGAGAAAAATCCGACGAGACGGAGTTCCGTATGGATCGATTGTGCATAATATATTAGTTTGATTTCAACTCTGAAACCAATGAATCAATTTATTTTATAGTCAGATTTTTAAAAATTAATAAAACCAAACCTTATCATATATATATATATATATATATATATATATATATATATATATTTTTTTTTTTTTTTTTTTTTTTTTTTTTTTTTTTTTTTTTTACAACAATTATTATATATTTCAAGAACAAATATTTACATGACTCCAGTTTATATAAATGTCCACCACACATATTTACAATATCTAAAGAGCGTTAACAATGCTGTTTCACGCTTGGCGTATTACAGGTGGGTTAGAAATGTTAAGAGAAGAATAAAAAAAATATATATATAAAAAAAAATAAGAAGTAAAAAATCGTGGTTTATAATCTAAAGTGCTGGCTATTAACCCATGCATTTAAAAAATATACGCAAGTCCGTCGCACCACAGGGCTACTAGGGACTTGCTTGTGGTTATCGTTGAAAAAATATATTAATATATCATAATAATGCTATGTTGTTGTAAGGAAACTCGCAGAAGACTAGGAGAAGTCTTTTCATCGAGAACCTTTAAAATGCAAAATGAACAAAAAATTTAAAGAGCAATTTCACAAAACACACATTAACTTTGAGGTCCACTCTTCAGTAATATTTTACTATGTATAGTTGCTACTATATTTATTATTATTATTATTATTATTTTTATTTTATTTATTTTTTAAAATTTAAATTATTCTTGTTACATTTATTATATTCATTTTCTTTTACATTTAATACATATCGATAAAATTGGTTTTGTTAATTATGAGATCTTTTAATTTTTTTTTAAGGATAGTAAGATTATCTAATTTAGTAAGTTCTATATTTTGAGATATTATTTTGTTGTATAAGTAGGGGCCACGGTATGCAATTGAAAATCTTGAAAATTTTGTTTTTTTAATAGGCAGGGTGAAATTTCCTGTTCCTCTTGTGCTGTATCTGTTGGCGTAGGTTTGAAAAAAGTTATTAGTAAAATGAGATGGGACAAGCCCGAGCATATATTTGAGCATAAATAAAATATTTTGGTAGATGTTAATTTGATAGACATTTAACGCATTCAAGTTTTTAAGTAAAGGATCGGCATGAGTGAATTTATTTTTATTATAAATCAATCTTGATGCGTGTTTCTGGTGTACATATAGAGAATTTAGTTTAGATTTATTTGTACTTCCCCAGGCAATATTAGCATATGTTAAATAACTTTGTATATAAGAAAAGTAGAGACTTTTAAGATTTTTCTGGGAAAGTAAAGGTTTGACTTTGTAGAGTATGCCGATACTTTTTGATATTTTTGTATTTATTGTATTTATATGGGCTTTCCAAGAAATCGTTTCGTCAATAATTATCCCAAGAAATTTAACGGTTTTAGTTCTTTCGATATTTATGTTATCAATTTT